TGTGATAGCGCCTCCTCCGCAGCCAGTCGCGCCTTTAGAGCCCGCTTGAAGTTCCTGCAGGTTCGTTCAATCTCCTGGTCTAATGGTAGTAGTTCTCCCGACTGGCTACGGGTCATGCACTACCTGCACACAATCAGCAGAAGCAACCCGTGAAGGCACACAGGTGGAAGAGATAAAATGTAATAAATAAAAAGCTAGAGTAACAAATTCTCACGTTCCCCCCAATAACCTAGAGGGCTCCCCGGCAACGGCGCCAAAAACTTGACACGCCAAAACACATCACCAAACTGCGACCAAGTGTAATCGCAGTCCGGGAATGCAGTAACAGGCAAGTTCTATTATCAACCCGGGGTCTAGATCTACTGCTTACTCCGTGATTCTCTATTATCTAGCCAACTAATTCGATTGATTGTTGTTTAAAGCAAAAGCAGATAGAAAGCAGTAAATTGTTCGGTTTTCAAAGTCAGGAAAGAGTCACTAGGGATTGAGTCCCCCTAGCCCCTTAGTTAGGTTCAATTGTAATTACCTGGGTTGATTCACTACTGATTAGACTGCGGAAGATCCGACAGTAGCTTGGAATCTCTTAAGCTGACCAAGCCCTCTCAGTCTAACTTCCCGGCAGACGACTAGTCTTCACCGAGATAGAAAGATGAAGCAATAAGCACAGAACTCCACTACTGGAATTGAATTCCAGTACAAAGCAGTAAACTGGCTAACTCTCGTATAGCCAATCTCCTACTATCGAATGAAGAGGCTCTAACAACCTAATCAGATTCTATCTATCTCAGGTTGCAGCATAAATCGAGAAAAGCTGATCAGACTTCAATCAATTCAATAAACATGCATCATTCGATTAAAATCAAACAGTAATATCATCCCAAGTCATTACAATCAAATCCCTAACACAAGGAACTAGGGTTCTTCATACCCAAGTGAGAGAAAGGTTCTACTCTATAGAGAGAGAAGAGAAAACAGTAATCGGAGTAGTCATACTCATAATGATGAGGAAAATCTGCTCCGGGATGATGATTTCCACTCCTATGACGATCTCCAAGCTCGATTCGATGAAACCCAGCTCCAAGATAGCTTCTAGGATGTGTTCTTCGTACTTTCTCTCTCTAGGGCTCTGTTTTTGCTCTGAAAATCCGATCCTCCCACTTTTGGCTCTAAATTGGCTGAAAAACCAGAATTTCCCGACCCACACGGGCAGGCCACACGGCCGTGTGGCTCACCCACTTGGCCGTGCGGCTCAAAATGCAGCGTACCATTAAGTTCGAACTTCAGCCATCTCACACGGCCAGGGTTGCACGGCCGTGTGGATTTCCTGAGTTGCCCGTGTTTGCTCTCGGCGGAAATCACACGGCCACCTTGCTCTCTTGCACGGCCGTGTGAAAACTACTTGTGCCCGTGTTTGCTCTCGCACAATCCCACACGGCCTGGTTTGTCAGTTGCACGGCCGTGTGGTCTTTGTGTGTGGCCGTGCAGCTTCCTTAGCACCTCGCCACGCGTCCGGTCTTCGTCCAATCGACCCCAAACTCGCTCCGAAGCCTCCATTCACGTACTAGGACCTGAAATATCACCAACAAGCACAACCTAGCGTGAAATCGGCCTAAAACACGAGAATCAATACCTCAAACGGTGTAAGAACGGGGGTAAAAACATGTGTAAATAACGGTCTATCAAGTACTCACCGAGAACTGGGGCGGAGGAAACCCCTAGAGATGGGTTGCGACGGAGAGATGCATGGATGAAGGAAGAAGCTGTGGTTGTGGCGGAGATGGACGCCATTTTTCACACTCTGACCCTGGGAAGGAAGGAAGGAAGGGATTAGGACGGTAGTTGGTTCTGTGAGAAACTACTGGAAGTAGTGAGCTTTGCAGAGGTAAAATGGAGGAGGTGATAATAATTTGCACATCTTAATACTGACCATAGAATTTGCCCCCCATCACAAAGTTCCATGCTAAGTTACTCTCCTTATTGGATCTTTTTAGTTGTGTATAATTCTTGGTTTCGTGATATGGTATGGAGATATGAGCAGGTGAGGTTTGGAACGGACCAGAGCATTAGCAGCAGTGGTTGTGAGATGGTATGTGTAAAATGGAATCATGGTAATTACTTGGCTCTGCTCATATAGGTAGGCTATATTTGAACCTCAAGGGAAGAATTCTCTTGCCACTTTTTAAGCTTTTTGTTTAGGTTTCCAACGTCAATGTGTGCCTGCTTTATGTCAACATAATCAAGCTTAATTGAAAGCAATACTTCCCACTTTGTTCACTCAATTTTTCTGTGTTTCACGGCTTTCTTATCTAACTTTTTTGTTTCTAAATTGCCTCTATTTTGGATATAACTTGCAGTTTAGGCTATGTAATTGACAACTACTGATTTAATCCATGACCTTCGAAGAACGGTTTGAGTTTACATTTTCCTTATGTCATTAGTTCTTATAAGTAATTTGTTGAGTTCTTATGCTAATGTACGGTCTCTTTTTTCTTTTTTTCTTTTAGTAGTTTGGTCCAAGAAATCATGTGATCATTAATTTTTTTTTTAAGATCACTAGGTTCATCGATTTAGTTTGCCAATCAAGCATTTAACCTTCGTTTAGTTCCTAATTGAGAGCGTAAGATCATTTGTATAATAATAGTACATTCCTTAGATACTGTGTTAAGATGGAACTGAAATGAGTTTGATGTAATGTCTTTGTTTGGTCCACTTTTATTCAGTGTTCAAGAAGACGCGATTAATCTCTCACCTAGGCGCGATTAATAGCTGGGCAGGAGGAAATCGCCCAGTCTAGCTCTGGGCGATTGATCTAGGCACCTAGGCACTCGGAGACGCGGTTTCACTTTGGTGAGCGACGCCCAGAATAACTAATAAAGGGGAAATTGTAGCCTTTTTGTGAAAATCCCAAACCCTATTCTATTTCCCCTTTCCACCCGCTCTGTAGCCTCCCCGAGAACCTGCCCAACTCCTCCTGGAAGATTGATCAATCTGCACTCGCATTTGCCGGATTGGGTAGGCTAACTGGGTTGCCGGCGCAATAGTCTCTCGAAGGCCCAGAGGTTCTCTATTTTTCCATAGTTGCCACAGAAAGTAGCGAAGAGGGATGCGTCTATCGGTCTATGGTATTAATAGTCATCTTTATCACTATGCTTTTCATTTTATTTGTTGCTTCTAATTATAATGATCAACAGATAAGTCAATAAAATATGTGATCGCGTTGACCTATCAATCAATTTGGAATTGTGCAAATTGTTGAAAATAAACACTATTTCAAGAGACATTGTTTTATGCAGGTATAACAGCTCCATTCTCTACTAGCAAAAGCAAAGTCGATCATTTGCCTGGAGGGAGGAAACATCTTTGGGAATCTTCTTGAAATTCCCCGACTTTTATTGTTGATCATCTGACCTTCAAAAATAGCGATGAACATAATGTAATTGTCCATTTTTTTGCAAGAGGATAATAGTTTACCAACTAATTCACTAATATTCTTGAGCTTTACGGATGGTATTCTTTTTAATTAATTTTCTTTATTATAGTTATTTATTGTTGTAAATTTTCACTTCATAATGTTAGTATACGTGTAACTATAAACATAATTGTTGAAAGCGTACTAATATTTGTGGATACTCGAAACCTAATATGCTATGAAATAGGTGGCAGACACAAGGACTGTCGTAAATTTAGCATATGTTATACTATCGAGCTAAAAGCCGAGCACAAAGCTAAGAACAAATTTATGGGCACACAAATTTTTGACAAAAAAGTTTTTATTTGTTGGTGGTACATATTTGTTATAAATTTTTAGATTCTTTCAAATGACATAGTAGACAAATCTATAAGTGTTGACTTTTAGATATCAAAGGCAACACCAAAATCAATTATAAAAAATCCATATTGATTTCCTAAAATCATGAATCTTTTTCAGAAACTTAATTTTCACAACAAATTATTGTATGTTTGAACTATAGAGTGCCTTATTTAATTAAAATTTTGAAGAAATAATTGGAATATTTCAGATATGTCCATTATAATACAATTGTACTATCCGTATGCATTAATGTTAGCTATTAACAACCACAACTACTTTTGGAAATATATATTATTTAAAAGTGAATTATTAGTTAATAATTTTGTATTTTCTCAATTAGTACCTAATGGTTGTCGACCATAAAATTTGAATCCTTTATTTGATAAATATTTATCCCTCCAAATTACTAATAGGGAAAATCCCTTGGAGTTTATAATTAATACTTCAATGCTTAATTATTTTATTTTCATGGATATAATAGAAAATTAAGTGAATAATATCAAATTTTATGAGAAATATTTTTTAAGTAATTTATTCTAACAATAGGAAGCGATTTTTTTCTTAAATGTAAAAAATATATAGACAACAGTAAGCGATAGCATGATCAATACAAATACTTATAAACTAACTAATGTTACAATCAATAATTCGCACAAATATTAGTTTCAACCCACTAATAAATTATTTAGACGATCCCAAATTATTTGAAAATATGAAAAAATAGATTAATATAAAAATATAATAAATAAAACTAAATTCATCCGACCAACGGGTCGGGTAAAAAGCTAGTAAAACTTTTTTTGTTTTTATCATTTTAGCGCAGCAGGAAGCTCGTCGCCACCGCACAGGAACCTGCCACGAATTGATAGAAAAGCAGGGTGCTTAGGGTCCCAGCAGGTCCTGAAACAGCCTGAAGCTCCGCGATCCGCTTTCCAGATTTACACTAGCGATGCCGATGATGATTGATTAATGATTAGAGAGTGTGAAGTGTTATGGTCTCCTTAGGTACTACATTCGTTAGTAGACTTATTGCATCATGGATGGAATGTTGTTTTTCTCCTAGTTTTGGAGTCTCCGACTCCGACTCCGACTCCGAGATCTATGTATCTGGAGTGTCCGAGATTCGTTCTATTGTTTTGAATAACACCTAAGGACGTCCTTTAAGTATTCTGACAAAAAAAAACACACACACACACAAAAAAAAAAAAAACAATTACGACTTTACATTTCTACTTGGATTGCTATTCTATGTAAGAACATGATTATGGCAGACACTATTCGTGTTATACAGCAAAAAAATGATACAAGAAAGGTCTTTACTGTTACAATGATGGTCTCAAAATTTCTTTTTGCCTATGAATGAATTTCCCACCAAGTAAGCACAGTGCTGATGATATGGATGGGCTTTACAGCAAGTCTCAGCGGTTGAACCAGTAACGACAGCGGCCACCGAAAGAAAACCGTGTATTCAGTCTTACGGAGAAGTACAACTTGTTGGTCATGTCATCGTCGTTAAACCCCTTCTCCCTCCTGGCATTGGTACCCCGAATCCATCATCTTCGGTTTCCTCCTCCTCTCCCAAAGAAGCTGCACAAGAAGTATTAAATGTGAAGGTGACACATATAGGTAACCAAATAATGTGAAGGTGGACTTAGAGAAACATTCAAACAATGCCATTCATCTGACATAGCTCAAGTTCAGTTTAACAAGGACAGCAAAGGCTAGCAGAGAAACACAAACCTCCTTTCCAGTCGAAATACATCCATTCAGATCATTCAACACGCCGCGATTAAGCATTTTGAACAAAACCATCCTTGTCCTTCGATCAATGGCCTGTAAAAAGGAAAGTAAACATATGATAGATTTACCAAACAGATTAAATCTGCTTGTGAAAACTCTACTCAGAAGGAGCTTCGAATCAACAGGGGGGAGTAGCAGGAAGAATCATAAACAAACTGAAGGCCAAAATAACATTGCATACTGTTGTCGATCCTCAGTTTCAGTAGAGCCAATTGTCCCAACAAATATTGATTTGTGTTCAAACATAGAAAGGGTCTATAATTTCATTATTCATGCACAAGCTGATAAGAGAGCTCAAAGGTTTCTGAGCAAAAACATTCCATCTACAACTGATCACATAACACTCAATGTTGTTGTTTCTCTCAAAATTCAGCATGTAAAACTAATCCAACAATCCGGTTAATTAGATTTTACCTGCTCAACAGTAGCATGATATGCTTTTTCAGTGGTTTTAATCTTGCCAATTGCCATATCTCGCACGATCCCAATTGAAGTTGTAACAAACTTAGACATCCCCACATGACCAGCTTCGTAGAGCCAATTGAGATCTTTAATGCATGAAATATTCTGAAGAAAAGCCAACAGGAGCAGAGTGTTACTCATGGCCCAGCCAAACACTTTTTTGGAATCAAGGTGATACATCATTTGAACCACAGCATAATACATGAAAGTTTCAGAAGCCAAGAACCCACCTTGCTTGGAGTTAGAGTGACAGCTCCCATGTACCATCCGAGGTGAAGCCTATCAAATAGGCTCAATTCGAATGACACATCATATGTCAATCCCAGGGAGTCCCGAACTGTGGTAAATAGCCTGCCACAGAGAAAATCCAACATTATTTTCAATGTTTAATATTTAGTATTGCTTTAATCTCCACAAGTTGCCAAAAACATGATCTTGTTCGTTCTAAACATAAGACAATTTCTCAAATACAAACTAGATGAAGTCAGCATTCGTTTTAGGATAGTTTACAGCACCAAGATTCAGATCATCTATGTTAATCAGATCCTAACTAGATCATCTGTCTACATACGTATGCCTGATTAATGATTTACTGCACGCTAGCTAAACATAAAAAGAAAAAGCAAATTAGACAACTCTATCGAGGAACCTCTAAAATAATTGGTTCGATTTACAATTTGGCCTCAGGATCTCTGGTTCACCTCCAATTTGCCAGCTACTAGGACTTAATAACTTCTTACTAAGTTCATTGCTGTTCCTATTTTCCATTTTTCAGACAGTACTTAACACAGGTAGAACAACTACACAAACCTGTTAGAGAGACTTGGTCTCTTCTGATGGCCAGTGATAGCAATCCCTTTCGTGTTCTGCAAAAAAGCACTCGAGTTACAAACCAGGAAACTATGGTTGCGGTGAAGGAGGAAGCATATCGGAGTATGCAGATTTACCTGAGCAGATACTGGAAGCCTTCCTGAACTAGTTGAAGTTACATTTGGCTTCACTAAGCTATTTTCGCTCTTTGCAGGTGACACCATCTTCTCTCTTGTTGATTTCACGTGAACACCACTGGCTGTACTCTTCTGAACTTCCCCGAGTTTCTTACCGGAACTGGCATGGTTGGATTTAGTGCTTGTGGAAGCCTGGGCAGGATTAATTTCTTTCACCGTCTTCTTCGTAACACTTCGACTCACAGATGGCTTCAACCCACCAGATCTCTTCCCCAAATCTGTACTCAGTTTCACTATGCTTGCAATTGAAGCAACAGACCCCTGGTTCAGTAAAAACCAAATGCAGTTTACATACATTTGCAGATGTAGATGTCAATCCTAACAGCAAAGACTACAAAAATTTTCATTTACCTTGGCAGAGATCTGTTTCTTTCCTTGTTTTGCACGGTTCCCATTTTTGGAGCACTTTAAGCGATCTTTACGTACGGTACCTGGATTACTAATGGATGAACTATCTGCTTGAGATTGACGTTCACCATTCCCACACTCATCCCCCATCATCGTGGAAACATTGTGATTAGAAACAAGATCAGCACTATCCTCGTTCTTCAGAACCTGAATTGGTACAGTATAGCTGCTACTGCTGCAACTTCCCCATTTTGTCACACCGTTAACTTTCCCTGCCCTTCTGCTATCTATCCTAGATTCCCGTTTGAACAACCCTTTCATAGCTCTGAAACCCTTGAAGTACTCCTCAAAATAGGCCTTCTTCTGAGCAACGAAACCTGGTGCAGTAGACTTCTCCACATCCTTCTTGGGCCTCTTGCGAGAGAACACTGAGAATTTCTCCCAAGCTAGACTCTCCGATTCGTATCCCCCAAATGAAATTGACCCATGATCCGCAAGTTTGCAGATGCGAACAAAGAACAGCTAGAGGAAATGCGCCAAAGTTAGAAACACAAGGTCGTTCACTACAGTATCAACATACAGAAATTGAAGTATTGAACCCACTAAATTGAACCCACTAACCTGACACGGCACCGTCGAGGACCAACTGTCGCCGCCGTAGCAAGCTTCCCTAGTCATTTCCCGAGAAGAAAATGCAGGGGGAAAAATCCAACGAACTAAAGAAAGCAAGAAAGGATTGAAGGAAAGAAAAAGAAAAAGAAAAAGAAAAAAAAGGAAGTCGGGCTGACTAGTGCAGCCGGCGCCTTTTGGCCGGCTGTTCCAAAACGTATGGAAGAAGAGCGGCGGCGGCTCGGCGGATGGCAGTTCGGAAGGCGAGTTTTTCTCTGGCTCGGTCAATGTTCGATTGGCAAAAGAATAATGCTGTGTGGAGAGGTACTTGATTGACAACAATCCTAATAACCAGGTATTCTCTTTTGCGTTCTAATCTATCGAGGTTAACGGCTGCTTCAAGCTCGGCCATTTCCGCTACATACAACGCCTTTGCGGCCGCGGCCATGGCCATTTTGAGAGGAGGTGAAAAAGAACCGTACCAAGAAAGAAGAAGAAGAAGACAAAGAAGAAGGAAGAAGGACGAACGACGAAGGAGAAAGGACGAAGAAGTAGGAAGGACGAAGGCCGAAGGATGAAGGAAGAAGGACGAAGGATGAAGGAAGGAGAAGTAGGAATGACGAAGGATGAAGGATGAAGGAATAAGAAACTGGCTGCTTGAACGATCAACGATTTCACAGTAAGACAGAGGGGAAAAAACTTCACGAACCTGCTAGGTGTGTCCTTTTTTATAGGGATGAATTTCAGGCCCTGCACTTCGTCTGTCTCCCCGATCGCTCCCCCTGACCTCGGCATTTCGTCGAACAGGTTGCTGGATTTGAGTAAGAATTTCCCCGCTGGTGGTGAGAAGCGAAGCCGCGCTTGAAGGGGGTGCCGGCGATCAACTTCCTCAGCAGCTATCCGACGGTTTTGCAGCAGGCGGATTTCGAGTGTCGGAAGCTGCGGATCAGAATTTTCCATAAGAGATGGACTCTCAGTTTGCTGAACGGGGAAGTGGCGAGGTGGAATGAGAAATGCGGCGGCGGCGGGGTTTGTGGAAGTGTTGAGGTGGAAGGAAAAGATAATTAATTAATTCATTTTTAATTTGACAGGTCGCCAATTTAACAGTCTACGTTAGTTGACCGTAACAAATTTAACAGAGATGGACGGAGACCAGTAATAAATGAGAATTTAAAGTTAGTGACCACTGACCACACTCTTCAGTCTTCATCCCGAAGTCCGATCTCCAACGCTCTGAAAGGAACTTAGGAAGCTCCCGCCACTGCAGCAAGAAGAAGAAGGAAAAAATCTGAAATGGCGAGCTCTCCCACCGCCATTACGAGTTCCATATCCTTCAAAATTGGCCAGAGAGTCCACTCAGTCGGTGATCCCCGTCGAATCGGCACCGTCAAGTCTGTAGGAAAGGTGGAAGGGTACTCCGGCAGTTGGGTTGGCGTCGACTGGGACAATGGTGCAGGCAAGCACGACGGGACCGCGAATGGAGTCCGTTACTTCCAAGCGAGATAGGACCCATCTGCGTCGCTGGTTCGACCTCAGAATTTGAGCGCCGGCATTTCTTTCCTTGAAGCTCTGTGCATCTGGTATAAAGGCCAGTCCACTAAGGAAGAAGAAGAAGGTGCGCGAAGGAAATTAAATTTTTTTCTTCTTTTCCGGCTGATTGGAATTGACAGCTTGATTTTGATTTCTGGGTTCTGGTTGTTGTAGAGGAAATGTATGTGCTTTCGGCAAAGAACAGAAGGGTGCCTGTGGAATTTTTGGGTAAAGAGAAGATTCAAGATAAGTTGAGCCGGTTTGGTGAGCTCACCAATGCTTCTCTGTCTTTTCTTGGTGTTAGCTCTCCTGGATCATCAGAAGATATCAGTTCTACTATGCCAACTAAGCCTATGATAACATTGGTCTTCGGGATCTTCATAGTGCTCATTTGTAGGGTAAAAAAGGGATTCCTTAGCTGTTCTGAAACTTTTTAGCCTCAAAGTTGTGTAATTTGATCTGTTCGACATTGGAATAGTAAATGGCATTTTCTAACAGAATGCTGGACACAGATTAGCTGTTCATTTGGTTCGAATGATTGCTTGAACTAGGGGTTAGGAGCCAATGTTGCCTGGTCCTCATTCTTTGGTGGTGTACTTGCAGATATAAAAGAATTGGACTTGACTGGAAATTTGCCTGGTCCTCATACTTATGTGTGTTTTGTCCACTCCAGCAGAATAACTTTCATACTAATTGCTGTGCCTGTTTTTTGTGGCGAAACTTGCCATCTGTTGACTTTCATAGTTGTGATGACTGGTAGGTACTGATTAGGCTTGCTTTCTTTGGCTCGATTACTCACTGCAGGATATAGGCTTCATATATGAGCAATTGTCTTCTCTTACAGCACTCAACCTGTCTCACAATATAATGTCCGAAGTCGTCACTGGCCTGCCACAACTCAGTAGGATCCGCGTTTTAGTTTTGAACTGTACCAGTATAAAGTGGACACAGGTCTGTTCCCAAAGCCTCTTTGATATTCAACTCTCTCATCTCTTTAGAGGGTTAACAAAATATATTGTTTTTCTGGTAATGTAGGTGGAAGAACTTAAACCTATGTTGCCAGTAATAGAGGAGTTGCATCTCATGGGGAATGGTACATGTGAAATAAAGGTACTCGTTCAGTGGGATACAAAGACCCTTATAACCTCATTCGTACTGTATCAAGTCTATTTCAGGGCGAGTTTTCGGATATTTTAATTAGTTGTCCATGTGTTAGGTAATTAAGAGAAAATAATTGACTGTCTTTGAAGTACGGAAGCTGGCTAGAGAAGGGAAATGAGTTGCAAGTATTGAGTAACCCTCATCTTATGTCCCATTCATAGAATAGCTTCTTTAAATCCAATATTTAATATACAAATTTTTCTGTGGTTTGTAGCCGACATCATCTGTTGTTCAAGGATTTGAGACTTTACGGCTTCTGAATTTGGAAGATAACTGTATAGCTGAGTGGGCTGAAATCTTAAAGCTTTCCATGTTGACAAGGTCAGGCTGATGCGGGTGCTCCTCTTTTTGAAATTGGCAACTGAATAGTTAACTTGATATGCACAAATTTTATGGAAACTAATGACACAGTTTCATCTTCTGCTTGGAACACCTTCAGTTGAATAAGAACAAATTGAAGAGCGTGTTTTATCCAGATGATGATACAATACAGAAAATTTTAAATGGATCCCACTTGCTAGAGAAAAGCTACATTCCTTTCAGAAACTTGGGTTATCTTCTCTTGGGTAGTAGTTCTAAAACTTCTTTATGTCTTTCTGATTTGCTATTTGACATTGTACAATAGTCTAATGTCCTGTTTCCTTCAGCAAGTAACCACATTGAGGATCTGTCATCAATTGACTCACTCAACCTGTTCCCTAACCAAATGGTAAGTTGTCATTTTACTCTTGTTGTTTGCAAAATGTCTGACGGGAAATAGGACTTCTTCTTGTATAATATCCTAAAGGCTTATACCTTCTCGGAAGAAAGAGTTTCATATCCCAGTAAGAGAGGGCCCATACGACATTTTCAAAAACTCAGAACATCTTGCTTAGTTTCCCAACATTTGCTTGATGATTTTTCTTCTTTGTTAACTACAATATAGGATATCAGAATTTCGGAAAATCTAATAACTGAACCAGCAAGGGGTGGTATCCCCAGATTTGTCTTGCTTGCCCGATTGTCTAAGGTGGAAATGCTAAATGGAAGTGAGGTAAGCTCCTGAACTTGTAATTGAGCAGACACCTTTCTTTCTCTGCTCCTTCTGAACTTCATTGATATCTGATTTCAGGTTGGTGTTCGTGATAGGAAGGAATGTGAGATCCGGTAAAGACATTTTCTCTAATTCAGTTCTGTTATACCAACTTCTGACTAATGAATGCACATTTCTTCCGCCAAATTCTTTTCCAAAGTAAAGGTTTGAGCTCAGAATCGGTTGTTCTTTAAATAGAATCAGTTGCGTTTCCTGAATATATTTTGCAGCTATGTCCGATTAGTAATGTCGCATTTGCATGACAAACCAGATGAAATTAAGAAACTTCATCCAAGGTACTCCTTTATCCTGCACCAGAATAGAAAGACTACAGTGAGAATTGGATAAAGTATTGGTGACTGAATGACGAGAATCGGCTACTGCTGCCAATGTTTTTTTCTTTCATCAATACAGAATTTGGATTCGATTGCAGGTTTTTTGAGCTTAAGACGAAAGGCCTTCAACTGTGGCAGCTGGCCCTCAGAAAATGGCTGCTGGACTACTATGTATGATCCCTTGACATCTATTTCTTTCGTGCAGCTTATCTGTGTTCGCATACTATCCTCACACTCTGTCACTATAATGCAGCGGTCACCCTTGAGTGTGTGGGTGCTTCCATGGGTTCGCATACAAACCAAATACTGTATTTTGACGTTGTACAATCTCATCAACAACATACATTCAACAATACATGGCTGCAAACTGACTCGATCGAATTAGTCTACGGAACAATTGGCCAAGTTACAACGAAATGATTCACGCACACCACTTGTACCCCAGCATTTGAGCATTATGGAAGCATTGTGGATCTTCTCAGCCGAGTGGAATGTATAGAAGAAGCTGTTGAGTTTGTCAACAAGATGCCTATCACCCTGGAATGCTGTTATTTGGTGGTCTCTGCTGGGTGCTGCATTGGTGCATGGGAACTTGGATGTTGCTGAATGGCTGGACAGAAGGCCATTGAGTTGCAGCCAGATGATGATGGGAGTTTATGCACTACTGCACAACCTATATTGCGGAGCAGGCAGAAGTGGAGATGCATTGACGGTAAGAGAGATGATGAGGAGTCAAAAGGTCTGTAGGAAACCAGCTTTTACTTGGGTGGAGATCAATGGGATTGCTCATGAGTTTCTGGCTGAAGACACGCAGCAGCTTCAAAGGGATTGCAATTATAATCCAGGTTCCATGCACCATTTATTTAGAACTAATTGTTGTGCCAATAAATGAGAGCCAAGAAGGAAGGAAGTATATATATTGATAAAAACCGAACAATAGAAACAGAATGAAAGGAGAGACATTACAGTTTAGAATATACGACTACTACTCTGTCCTGCTTCAACTGAAAAACGCTCTTAACAGACAAAAGAAAAGAATGTCTCCATACAAACTTAGATTCCGAGGGGCAGAGCAGGAGCAGGAGCAGCTTGGCGGCTGGTCTGTTTAACCCAACAGTCGTAGCTTCCATCGTATGCACCTTGGAGTTTTTCGTAGTTTGGAATTGGGGTAGGCCAGCAGGAAATCCTAGGGTGGAACAGCCTCCAGCGAAATGAATAGTCATCAAAGACGCCTTCCTCCCCCGTCCTCACATCGTGATACAATATATTATGGAGGTTGTCCTCACTGACATGATTGTTTAAGAAGACAATTTCTGGGTGGTCTGGATGCAAACAGGCAATGAAGCAGCGTCCACGACTGTAGTTACATGATTCCGACGGCTCTTTCAACGACACTTGATAGAGTTCACTCCATGAACTATGTTGGCGGTCCCCGTCCTCTTTCTGTCTCCAAACAGTCAACAAGGGACGTGCACCAAGGTTCTTATCAAGCCGAGCTATGTGCAAAACGCCTTGCGAGACAGAGATACTAAAATAATTCCACTCAAATCCAGGATGACCATCCACACGGAATGGACGTCTATCGAGGTGGAAAGCATCAACCCCAAGAATTGGAGCAGCATCAAGACTTGGACCAGCATCCTGGGCACAGCAAAAGAGCCTGCCGTTGCACGAAACTACTTCATCGCGATATATAATAAAATCACTGTCAAGGACAAGAGCACCCTCAGTCCAGGCTCCAGACTCGGAACAAAACACGTCTAGTTTTGTAGACTCGCCCACTGCAGAGTACATGCACACCACCCGGAACCGATACTCGGAGTGAACAAATACTTGGTCATCTCCCAGATCAAGCTCGGGATTCGAACGAGGTTCGCAAACTAACCTCGCAATCAATCCACCACGTTCTTCCATCGACCTGTTAGGCATTAAAGGAATGGCTACCCATTGCTTGGTAAACGGATTGCAGACAAACCAAGACCTGACGATTCCGGGGTCAGTGTCGGGCGAGGCCCAAAATCCGCACAGAACCAGGTCCTTGAAGCAATCAATGACATGGAAAGACGCTTCAGCAAAATAACCAGGCATGGGGAGGAAGCTCAAGATCACGGATTCGCGATCCTGTGAGGGAATAAGCAGAGATTGGTTCATCCTCTGGTGATGAGAGACGAAACGGCGATTGAAATAGGGTTGTGAGATCAGGGAGTTCCATCGCCTGCAGACCAGTTTGCAGCGGAAGGCGGACCTCGGGTCCGGGACGCGAATCAGAACTTCTAAGAGAAGATCGCCTACCAGTTTGCTGATGCTGGAAGGAGGAGGGTTTGGGACTCTACGTAGTTTCCCTACCGAGGAGGAGCAAGCCATGGTTTGGATTGATTAACGCTGCTGGAACTGGAAAAGGACTCTTTTTTTTTTTTGTCATCGACAGATCGCACATCCCTCTATTTATTTGTTAAATTTTGAAGAAATTTCCTAGTCCTTTAGGAACACCGCCGGCACCCACTAACAAAAAGGGTATATCAGCAGCACGTAACCTTTTGCCCAATCCTACTTGTGCAATAAGAGATCACACTAAACTAGAAGAGGCCAGCCATAAGCAGAAACAACTTCTTAAAAAGTGGTCATGAGTCCAAAGCACACCTTCATTCTAACATATAGCTCAGTCAGTCAAAAGAGATCAGCATTAACATGAAATTCAGCCGTACATTCCAGTTCAGTCAGCCAAAGGACCTAATGCAGCAAGAACTAATTCATACATTCATACTACTCAGAATCCGAAAACATAACAGCCACTAAAACCATATATTCTCAATGAGGAGCAGCATACATCTGGCTCGAATCATACTGACCATACGCTGCTGGCTGAGGAGATACAGTTTTCCCATACCCCACCGGAGCTGCACCGGCAGGGGCAGACACAGCAACAGGAGCTGCAGCATAGCTCCCCGGTTGTGCCACTGACTGATCATAGCTTGGTTGAGCTGGTGCAGCAGCAGCTGCTTGCGCTGGCTGAGCATAGACCTGATGTGCAGGATCTTGTGCTTGATAACCATAACCAGTAGCAGCAGCAGTGTTCTGAGTGGTGGCAGCCTGATCAGGATAGCCTTGCGAAGGTTGATATGATCCATATGCTGCAGGGGCAGCCTGGCTATAAGCAGGTACAGGCTGTCCACTCGGCTGAGCTGGAACCTGAGAATACCCATCATTTGCAGAACCATATGGAGGATACCCAGATTGGTAAGAATACTGCTGTTGAGCTGTTGGAGCACCTTGACTGTATGCTTGACTCGGTTGACCATACGGCTGAGGAGGCTGGCCCTGTGCTTGCATGGGGTAAGCCGGTGGTTGCTGCTTGCTGTATTGTTGATGATGAGTTGGATATCCCGGATAACCTGGCTGTGAATTGGCATGTCCATACTTTGGTTCGTCATATCCATGGCCATAGCCTTGCTGAGGTTGTGCCGGCTGGGGATAAGAAGGTTGATGCCCATAATCATGTCCATAACCATAATTCGTTGCAGGAGCAGGACCAGGCGGGTGGCCAGAGACTGGTGGAGCAGCAGGGTGGTCAGACATGTGGCCTCGTTGACCACCGTAGTAATCATAACCACCACCACCAGGTGGCATATTCGGAGGAGGTCGTTGCTCCCAACCAGGACCATAGTTCGTTCTGTGACCCATGTGCTGCTGTGGGGGGTAATTACCATAACTTGGAGGTGGGTAGTGCATGCCATGCTGCGGTGGATATGGAGGTCCTCGGTGGTGGTAATCATAAGGAGGCATTGGTTGGGATGGATGAGGGCCTCGAGGTGGACCCCAGTGGTTCGGGCCACTGGGTCCACGAGATCGATACGATTGCTGCTGGTTGAAACCCCCAGAAAGAGATGATGATTGCTTCACGTTCTAACATACAAACAAAAAAACTAGTTAGAACAATAAACTAGATTCGGCAACAGGAGAATGTTGACTCAAGAGGCGATACACTATTGAAACCTGCACATACAGAACATGAACATAGGACGATATTTAAAGAAACACCGAAGTGAAATCAACAGTTGAATGATGAAAGCATTATCGTGGTACAACTGAGCCTTCATAAGAATGAAACTAGTTATGGATATCCAATAGAATCATCAACCACAACAAGGCATGCTGAAATCGAACTTTTCGAAGAAAACAAATACCAAACCTAATTCTTACTCAATTGCTCAACAATTAAATCTATCAGCTACCACCAGTATGATAATATTACCATGAGATCATATATTAAAGGGCAAAATTGGAGACAAGAAACCAAGCAGAAATGCAGAATGAGCTGCAAGTGCGAACGAACTGTTCCCAAATCTACAGTAGGCATTTCATGCACACATCATTTTAGAAATTATTACTATTTTGCATCATGCAGACGGCGAATGATTGCTGCATTCGTTAATGGGAGTTGGCCACGATGAGCCAAAAATTCAATAGAAAAAAATGAGGAGAAACAGCAATTGTGAACTGCCCTTGCAAGTTGCAATGTCTAGAAAAACAGAAGTACACACTTGCCGAACAGCTGAATACAGCCACTTATGCTTGTAGTTCACAGAGGGCACAAGAATTCCGCACCAACCTTAACGACAAAAGAGGGGAAAAAACAAAATAAACCGTTAACATAATAAAGCGCACCTCAAAACTAGTATTATACCAACACAATCATCATGGGTAGTTACACTGTGAACATAAAAGTAGATGCCAGTTGCATAGGTAGGAGATTGTGAACGAAATAGGCAAGCAGTGTTCTAATCATCTGAACCAGATGCTTGGGTTGACAATATTCATGCATAGAAGCACAACGTACACCATACTATTGAAATGTCCAGCAGGCTATGACTTTCACGAAGAGAAACTGTTTTTCTACCAAAGGTCTAGAGAATAGGATAGGTTGCTACAAAGCACCATGGTTCACAAAAAGCCACTGATTTTGGATTCTCAACTTTGAAGTCTCAAAGCAGTCTTACCAACTATTAACCTCCTGCAAGTGCGAGATATAAAGCCTGATACCTCTCTTCTGTGGATGACAATGAATAGTGGTTGTCTATTGCTACACCAAGAAAGCAATGCTGACCCCATTGGAAAGGCCATAGTGTAATCTGCAGTTTTAAATTCAACCAGTTCGATATCGGCACCTTCAATATGAAAAAGTCAAGGCAACCGGCATCTCGGATGGAATATATGATCTAGCTAATAGCACTCAAGCGATCTCCACTGGTCCATGGTTCATCAATACCATAAATTCCCATGATTGTGTACAAGATCTCAGTCTCACTGTAATGGAAGACCATCAGACGGATCTTCCCAAATGGATAGTAACTTAGTAAAGGTCTCATCAAATGAATCAGGACATATCCACTTTTGGCTTTGGCAAAAAGAAGAAAAGGACTAGCAAGCACCTCTAAGCATGAACTTGCCACTTGAAAGAACACACAGAAATGAGTCTACAATCACAACAAAGCATTTATGATATGAAACCATTCACCAGAAATCTAGCATCAAACTTCTGCTCTTCATACATAATGGTCAAACAGTGGCCAATGATCATCAGCACATCAAATATGAGTAGATATGCAGATTTATTCACTATATCTCCAAACATAAATAGCATGGCACTTTACAATCCATAATACCAAAGTAGAATATGAAGTTTAAAGATCTGGAATAGCTAAACCAAAGAGTACGGATGCCCAGAAGGAGAGCCATAGAAGCATAAAATGTTCATGGACTGATAAACATGGACCCATAATGCGAGTCAGAAAATGAATCTTACATTCAGTAAGTAGGTCAACCAACAAACACATTACGGATTCCTTGCTACTTTTATGAGTCACAGACAATCTTCATGCAATACTTGCTCACAAACCTCAAACTGGGCATAGTAGCTTTTAGTTGACTTATGTAATAATGTATGCAACTAAAAATGGAAGCAACTTCACCAACTAACTTATGAAAGGACTATAAAGAGCACAAACCTGACTCATGACTTCCTTTATCAACTCACATGCCATATCAATTTGCTTCCTATCGCCAGTCACACGTACAGTCCTTTCTTTTGATCCATCTCCTTCAGGGAGATGTTGAGGAATTAACTAGTGGAAACTAAAAATGTCAGTTTCTGGTGGAGTTTCTTCACAAACATCAAGATCATGCTTGTAAGAAAATGCAACAGCCAAGTCCAACAATATCAGCTACCTGAATACGTGCTCCAGTTTTTGTTTGTAGACCCTTGATAGTATCCCCACCTTTTCCTATGATCAAACCAACCTGGGAAATTATAAAAGACATTAATTTAATAGCAAGAAAAAAGAAAGCACGTTGATAAATAAATTGGTGGGATATGTGTCAGTGGAAGAAATATCTGTAAGCAACCTTCTCGTTTGGAACTTGCATCTCCAGTTGCTCTGCAACTGCAGCATTCTGAGCGCTAGGATGGCCCCTAGCAACAAGGGAAGGGGAACCTCCTGCATCAGCCTGCAATAGATATGGGGTAAATGCTGTAAAAATCGGCATTTTAAGGTGGTGAAAATGTTACACCAGTAGACTGAACAAATTGATATTGAACTAGGAGCAAAGCAGGATAAGCTACCTCAGCTATAACAGCCTGGATCAGCTTCTCAGCCTTCCTAATACTACCTAGAGTCCCTATTATTTCCACTGGTCTTGTCACACAACGTGGATCAGCATCTGAATCCCTTGTTATCTGTATCTTTGCCCCAGAGTTATACTGGAGGAAACGAATAGTGTCCCCACCTTTGCCAATAAGAACCCCAACCTAAAAAAGCAATATTTGTGTCAATATTCATTTCAATATGACACAACACATTTGAAATCATACAAAAATAACCAAAAAAAGGATGGGTGACTCACATCATCAAATAGAAACTAAGGTCAACTTTAATTCTATACTTCACCATGTGTGTAACCATATAATTCATCTATATGTTCAGCCAATATCAATGAGAGATAAAAATTGTAAAAAAAAAAAACAAGACCATCGCTGGAAACATCTATCATTGGCGTTACCATGACCTTAAGTTCTTTGTTCAGCCTGGGAGTTTTTTTCGTAGAAAATCTTGGGAGTGGTTTTCAGTTCTAGGCAAGTACAATGCATTCCCTGTATCTTGCTCCTGTATATTTTAAACTAATCATTCTTCACTTTCAGCAAGTAGAGATTTTAGAACTCCATATTACATTATCAAGGAAATTCTACTTCAATATCTTAATTGTCCAAGTCAATATGAAAATTCCTTAACATAACATTGTCCAAAATAAACTAACTCTCAATATTAACAAATGTTGCATTGGTGTACATAAACGCACCTTATCATTAGGAACTTCCACCCTACGAGTGGTAGTCTGATCATCGGATAGAGCTTCTTCCTCTGCTTCTTGTAGTGGTTGCCCGTCTTCCCCTTTTGGGAGCAGCTCATCAGCTTTAACTGGCTCCACATCCCCAGCAGAATCTGGTTTCTTTCCATCATTCTCCTCATCAACTCCAGCTGCAGCAGCATCTTCATTAAGAACTTTCTCCTCACTCTGCTCTCCTGCTTCCTGAATCCTCTCAGGAGCCTGCTGAGCACCACTCTCTTCCGGCACTTCACTCTTACCATTTTCATCACCAACAGCTTCGAGATTAGCACCTCCATCTGGCTTGCTTATCTCAAAGCCATTTTGACCAACTGTAAACAGAAAAATAATCCTTGACTGTTTAGAACATAGTAGCTCTGAAATTTGTGCCAAGCTAGATACTTTAGCACCCACCCTAGACAGAAAAACAGAATAGCAGCTAACATTTCTAAATAACCAGCTGACTCAGACAGATAAAGGACCGATACAAGCAAACTAAATGATGTAAAGGATAACACTGTAAACTTCACACAAGCAATGCAATGCCGAATACCAGGCTCGTCCACCGGCTTATCCTCAACCCTAGCCCGCTTGACCTCCTGCGAATCCCCATCGATTGCAGACGAATCGTCGCCGCCGCCTTTGATTTCTTCCTTATCTTCCACAACATCAGAAGTCACCCCGGGCTTCTCGTCTTCCGCGACCGGAGCTTCAGCGGGTAGGTCCAATTCATCGTGCTTCCGCTTGTGATCCGTGTGGAGGGGAGGGCTCGAAGGCGCCGTCGCTGCAACCTCTTCCTCCGCCATTACAAGTGGAAGGGGCAAAATGCTACCAAGAAGCGAAGAGAGATTCGAATCTGTTAATCAAGATGCGAGCTTCCTGCAAATCGGAGCAAAAGGGTGGTCGGTGGTTTGGGAGAGAAGGAAGCCGAAATGGATGCGAGCGAGTGCGAGGGAGATTTGAGGAATGGCGGAGAGGGTTTAAGCCGTCTTTTTTATATTTTCATATTTATTTAATTTTTGCAGAAATTACTACTTTTTTGGGCCAAGGTTTGGGGAAGCTATAATTATACGGGCCTGAAATTTCGTCCAGTTGCGTTGGCGCCATAATTATGCGGCCCAGCTGTTGGCGGGCCAACCGAACTTCCGAACCGTTAACTAAACGGAGCGAGAAAGGAACGAACTTTGGTTATGTAACCGCCTTTTCTTCTTGTTAGGCAGATCTGCCCTTCTTCGCTGCTTTCTTCTTCTGGAATTTCCACTCTGTTATCTGCTGTACCTCTTCAATTTTACGCCATTGATTAATAAAGTTCTCGCAGTTGGAGAATTTCTTCATCTTCTGGGATTCATATATCCAGCTTTCTGCATTTGGCGCTTAGGGTTTAGCGATTCTCAGCTGCTGTCCACCTCCTCTTCAAGTTCCACGGCTCTTTCTGTTTTATTTCGCTTGTTGTTCGGGAGATTGCTTTAGCCGCCAGTGTTGTTTGATTGATAAGTCGAGGAGTGCCCATTTGATAATTTGGTAGAATCTGAAATCCCCATTTCCCATTAATTGGATTCGATTCTCAGTGATCGGGGCAGAAATTCAGTCTTTCGGTTGAAGCGAACCTATTTGATACTTTGCCTCAGAGAGCTAGTTTGGAAAGGAAGGAGGAAGTTTGTGTTTCTCGTGGTGCTGCTGTCTGGTGGGCTATCTGGGGTTTGAAGATTCTCATTTTCGGTATCTGATCGGTGAGGTTTTATTGATGGCGGAGCCGGAATCGAAGCCTGAAGTTTCTGTGGAGACATCGCCTGATTTGCTTAAGAATACGCCATCGAACATTGCGCGGTTGGAAGATGTAATAGAGCACTCGAAAGGTCGGCAGAAGTATCTTGCACAGACCAAAAGTCCATCTGATGGTGGTGACGTGAGGTGGTACTTCTGTAGGGTACCTCTAGCTCCAACAGGTAAGTTTGCTGCTGGGTTTTCTTATTAATGTTTAGTAGGGTGAAAAGTGTTTTACTTTTTCCTTGTTAGCGTTGATTTCACAACAGTGCCCCATCATGCCCTTAGTGATTATTTATGCCCATCTTTCATGCACCTTTCGCCCGATCATAAAGAATTGCTTGTGTATTCGTGACGGAAAAATGGGTTCAAAGAGAGATTTCATGCTGCTGTTTTTATGCTCCTACAGAGTTAGCTGCATCTGTTCCTCGCAACGAAGTAGTAGAAAAGGGCGAATATTTTCGTTTTGGAATGAGAGATTCACTTGCAATTGAGGCTTCATTCTTGCAGGTCATACTTGTTATCCTTGTTGGCTGGTTGTGTCGCTTAGAGCATGAGTGATCGGCCTCCTTTTGACATCTCAAAAGTCATTTTTATCACAGTTTTGCATCATATTTATTGAACCAGACGCTTGAGAATCCCATTGGTTGATGTGACCTGATGTTTTGTTATTGGCATCTGCAGAATGAAGAAGGGTTGCTTTCTACTTGGTGGAAAGAGTACGCAGAATGTAGTGAAGGTCCAAGAGGACAACCATCTTCAAGCAAGAAGATAGATGCCGAAGATTCTAATCTATTTGATACGGAGGAAGAAAGAGTTGGTGTGCCTGTGAAAGGAGGGTTGTATGAGGTATCTCTACAGAGTCAAACCATCTTTTATTGCCAGGATGACTCGGACTTCAGTATTCTTACTTCAGAGTGTTAAGTATTCATATCCTATGAGTTAATTTATGCAGGTAGATCTACCAAGGAGGCATTGTTTTCCTGTTTACTGGAACGGAGAAAACCGGCGAGTCCTGAGAGGTCACTGGTTTGCTCGTAAGGGGGGCTTAGATTGGCTTCCTCTTCGTGAAGATGTTTCTGAACAATTAGAGGTGGCATACCGCAGCCAGGTTTGCTCAAATACCTACATTTTGGTACCGTGTGCTATTTGGTACAGCGATCCTATCATATGTTATTGCTTGTTGCAAATTTTATTGTCTGAGATTGTGAATGCAGTCTGCATATTGTACTTCAAATGTATGCTACCTGCTTCCTTCAAGGCTTGACCTATCATTAGTTCCGATTCCCATATTACGAAGCTCCTCTGCTTCCTTAATTTTTGGTATATCTCCAGGTTTGGCATCGTAGAACATTTCAACCCTCTGGACTATTTGCTGCTCGTGTTGAACTGCAAGGATTTACACCAGTAGGTTCTTTTCCTCTAAGGTTCTTTTGCAAGTTTTGTTTCTGGACAGATGGCTAGATAAGAACAGTATGGGTTATGCATCCAGGGACTTCATGCTCTTTTTATGGGTGAAGATGATACCTGGGAGGCTTGGCTCAATGTTGATGCTTCCGGTGTTGCTAGTATTGTTAATTTTAGTGGAAATGGGATTAAGTTAAGGCGTGGTTATTCTGCGCCGTCCTCAACAAAACCAACTCAGGTATATCTTCTGTTTCTTAGACCTATGATGTCCTTTATGTTGATAACTCGATGACATGCACAAGCACATAATAAAGAGCAAAAGTTGTCTTTTGAATATAGAATACGAGACAGTTCCTTGTTAATAATCTTTAGAATGAGTTTGCATTACCTGGTCAAATATAGATAGGTACAATGAGCTGTGCCTATTGTGATCATTTTCGTCTTTATGTGTTCCTCGGGGGGAAAATTCTAAGAGCATACTGGAAGAACCAACGTGTAGAATGCATCACTGTGACTTGAGTAAAAGATAAGTAAAAAAGTTCAGGAATTGTCTTGAACTTCTTTCTTGTTCTTCACTTGCTAGAGATAGGGGGCAGCAAGAATGATCTGTGTTACGTGATGCACAGATAAGATGATGTGATTAGGGTTAGACCGCTATTTTTTATGTGAAGGATTTTTCACTATTAAGGAGTAAATAGAAGTGGCAACTGGCACCAGACCTTTTCCATGCTATTTATGGTTAACAGATTGCAAAGTTAAAAATGCATTGGCTCATCTGTTGATAGCCACGGTCTTTTGATTAGGATGAATTGCGGCAGCAGAAGGAGGAGGAAATGGATGATTACTGCTCACAGGTTTGTATTGTTTTTCCTTTTAATAATTCACTATTTCGCATTCTTGCAGTGTAGATTTATTGTTTCTTCTACTGGTTGTTATGTTGCTTAATTCTGAGAAGGGTGCGAGTATTGGGGATCTGCGTCATGTTGGAGTCCTTTTTTCCTCTTTCATTATGTTGTAGTTCTGAAAATAATTGTATCTCCATTGTGCTGCATCATTTTTATGCTTTATTATTCAATTAACTTCTAACTCAGCTATGTTCATTGAGTAAGATTCCTCTGCATCTGTCTGATCTAGGTTCCTGTACGACATGTGGTATTTATGGTCCACGGTATTGGTCAAAGGTTGGAGAAATCTAATTTGGTCGATGATGTTACCGAATTTCGACATATTACTGCGAGTCTTGCTGAAAGGCATCTAACCTCTCATCAACTTGCTGCTCAGCGGGTTCTCTTTATTCCATGCCAGGTAAACAGAAAAGATACATGAATTACTACCTAAAAATGCAGTTTTATTTTTGAACTCCAAATTATGTGAGGATGCATAACTAGTATCAGGAAGTGAGCAAACATCTAGTCCGTGACTTGTGATTTTGAGGAACTGTCAGGTTCCAGTTACCAGTGGGTTTGTGGTAGCTTCTGCAAGCTAAGAGCTATTTTATATTGGCCAATTAAATTTCCAGTTGTTATTTAATGGCAATTTATAAAAGCATATGAAAGCTTTTCTATCTGCTGAATGCCATACTCCATGGTATGAAATGGTGAGTGAAGATTTTGTGCTTTTATGTTTACATCTCTCAGTATGGTACTTAGACTGAATCGGGGGGTTGTATTTCCTGAATTAGTAGATAAAAGTTAGGAGCCCTACTGCCTGTGTAACTGGCATTGAACTTCACTATGACGACTTCGCCTGAGAGTGTAGAAAATTTAGAACAGACTTTGGTGGATTGCACTTCAAAATCATTATGTTGCCTACTTTCCCTACTACTGGGTTTCCTTATTGTCTTTTACTTTTCCTTATATTCACTGTCAGTCTTCATGATTGCTTCTGCTTATTTCTGATCATCATGTGATCTCAAATTGCATATTTAATACTTATTTGCAGTGGAGAAAGGGCTTGAAACTTAGTGGTGAAGCTGCTGTTGAAAAGATCACTTTAGATGGTGTACGTGGCCTTCGTGTGATGCTTGGTGCAACAGCTCATGACGTATTGTACTACATGAGTCCAATCTACTGTCAAGATATTATTAATTCGGTAATGTTTATCCTGTATTTTTTCCAATAATTACCATACCTGGTTGTGCAAAATTAAAACATAAGTTCTATTCAAATTTACAAAATATATAGGCCATCATATTACAAAGATTACTTGTTAGTGCCCTCGCACCCTTTTGTTTGATGGTATGATTGTTTGTTATCTCCAGGTGTCAAACCAGTTAAACCGTTTGCATTCAAAATTTCTCAAGCGAAATCCTGGGTATGATGGTAAGGTAAGCACCTGGTTAGACCCCACCTCCACTCATTTTCCCTCAATGGATGTTAGCTTGCAGGAAAAGCATGTAACCTACTTTTTTGGTAAAGGTTTCCTTATATGGTCATTCGTTGGGGAGTGTTCTCTCTTATGACATCCTCTGCCATCAAGAGAACCTGTCATCCCCATTTCCTATGGAGTGGATGTACAAAGAACAGCCTTCCACTCCAAATTCACTCCCTGATGTGAATGAGGAATCTTCAATGCATAACCCTTTGCCCAAGCTGGATGGTACCTTTTCCACTGAACAAATAGTGGATTCTGCTGATGAGGCATCGACTCCAGTTCATGAAGTTAAGGCCACGTCAGGGGAGTTCGAGAAAGCCGAAGGTTTTCCCAATTCGGATGACAATGGTCGAACCCTGTCTGAGGAAAAGGATGGGTTAGATAAAGATGCCACTACGACAGTCGATGACTCAATTGAAGGACTGGAGAATGAGGCTGTCGAAAACTGCAAAGCGGATAATGTCAAAGAGGTTGAATTGTTGAAGGAAGAGGTTTGTTTCTGAATACTTTCTCCATTCTAAAAGCTTAATATTCACTTCGGCCTCTTAAGTTGTGGTTTTTCTAATTGTTTTTGTTAGATCAATTGCCTTAAAGCGAAAATGGCAGAATTGGAATCGAGGAGTGTGACTGGGCCTGCTTGCGGTGCGTTGCCTCAAAGCCATATTGTCCTTTATTCATTTTTTGTGTTTAATTTGGTTGGATTTTGTTAAGTTTTTATTTGTTGAACAGAAAGTAAGGAGATGCCTGAAACAAAAGCAAGCGAGTCCACATATGAGAATACCCCTACCACTTTGCAAAATGAACCACAGAATTACACCCCCTACATAAAGTACACAAAACTTGAATTTACGGTGTGTGCATCCTTTTTTTTTGTTTATGGACTGGCGTCCTTTGAAGTACAGTTTGCATAAGACAGATGTTTAAGTTGAAGTAGGTCTGCAGGAAATAATACTTATATGATCTTCATGGGTCTTCTATACCAGGTAGACACGTTTTTTGCTGTCGGTTCCCCTCTTGGAGTATTCCTCGCTCTTCGTAACATTCGTATCGGAGTTGGTACTACTTTACAGAAACCTTATATGTTCTTTATGCCATTGAATTCCAAATGATTCGTCTCCCGTGAATGATACCTGGTATCATTAGTTTTCCTGGGAGCATGACCTCACACATGTTCCTTTATTCTATATCAGGCAAAGGGCAAGAATATTGGATGGAAGAAAATATCACAGAGGAGATACCAGCCTGTAGGCAAATGTTCAACATTTTCCACCCATTTGATCCTGTAGCTTACAGGTGTGTGATCCAATTTGACTAGTCGCATTTTGTTACCTTACCTCCTACTTTCAGGCATTGTAAAATCGGTTGGTTTCCGGTCTTAAGAAAATGCTCTGAGTATAGCATTAACATTTATGAAAGTACTACTTGGTATGATGTGTCGTGTGTCTCTTCTCTGTGTCATTTTCATACAGAATAGAGCCACTTGTATGTAAAGAATACATCAACAGGCGTCCTGTCATTGTTCCTTACCACAGAGGTGGAAAGCGTTTGCACATTGGATTTCAAGTGAGCCTCTTTCAACCTAGTGCAAATTGGATTTGGTTTCTTCCTCCTCCTTATCTTTACTCTTTTCCTCTTTCTCCATCCATGTTCTCATACATTTTTCATGCAGGAATTTTCTGAAGATTTAGCTGCTCGGTCGCAGGCAATCAAGGATCGTTTAAATTCTGTAAGGGTGGGCCCTTTCGACTTCCATAATTTTTTTTCTTTCCAGAGTGATCCCGGATGAGTTGGGTTCGTCTTGACTTCACTTGGTCTTCTTTTGTGCATATGTTTGTCATCTTTTGTCTCTATGCTGAATCAGCATTTCTGATTACAGTCTAGCAATAGCTAATGCTTCACGAGTAAGGATTTTTGCTTGGTCCTCTAGTATTGTGTCAGAGAGGTTTTCTATGTTATATATTACTGAATGCAAGTATTACTTGGCTCCCTGGTTGTGTGGTTAGCTCCTTGATTGCTCTTTTCTTGAACCAACTGTACTGTAGTTTTGATGTGATTGTATGCTAGATGGATAACAGGTTACCCTAGTATGCAGGTCAAGTATATTTCATTTATGTTCACCCGTAACGAACCATGAAGTTGCTAATTTTTGTTATTTGAGCAGGTTAAAGTTCTTACAATGTGCCAGTCGAAAAATGAAAATAGCTTCGATGGTAAATAATATATTTTTATCGTCTGTTATCTCTTAGGCGAGGTTACTGGAATCTCACCAATCTGAATGTCTCCGGTAATCCGATGCACTTATCTGTTTCAGGACAAGAGGAAAATGTTCAGGATAGGAATGAGAGAACATACGGCACTCTCATGATGGAAAGGTTGACTGGAAGTGAAGAAGGGCGAATAGATCACATGCTTCAGGTATGTATGGTACATTCCCATCATGTTTGCCCTCATCGAACCACATAATTACTCTTCACATTCCTTGTTACCGAATTCCCTTTTCTAGATTGTTTGTCATCTGAAAACAACATTATCTGCATGAGTAGATTGATCCAGGTGAGGAATGGTAAGACACTATCTGCCATTATTCATAGACTCATAGTCAAAGGTATCAGCTTGGCACTCCGGCACTAGCATGTCCTGGGAGTTCAGTTTATTTTGAATTAATAGCTGTCTTTCGGTATTATTAGTACTATTAATGATGATGATGGTGATGATGATTAGGATCAGTTCTCTAAGAACCTGCATTTGTTGTTTAGGCCCAATTTACAACTCATGCATGACAGTTAATCTCACATTCTTTGTCCAAGGTTTTGCTGAAAAGCAATAACTTGGCTCCCCTGGACAAGCAGTCATATCAATTAATCATTCTCATTCCCTTCTGATGAGGCTTTTGAATCATGCAGGATAAAACTTTTGAACATCCATATCTACAAGCAATTGGAGCACATACGTAAGTATCTTATGGGGCTTAAAATATGTGCATTTTTCATCTGCCTGAACAAGTTTGCACTTACTAGCCTATATATATTCACATCGATTTTGTTTCACTTGGGGGCATTCAGGAACTACTGGAGGGATTGCGACACTGCACTCTTCATCTTGAAACACTTATACCGGAACATATCGGACGAGGCCGATCACGACGATGAGACTGGCGAAGGAGACTCCTCGAGAGATGGAAATAGTGGCTGCGGTACCTCGACATGGCAGGAACGGAGAGAGTCGGCAGAGGAGGAACTTCCTTTAACTTTCTCCGACCGACTGACCATGAAGAACTTCTCCAGGAAAGCAAAGAAATTCATGAGGAAGTCGTGATAGCTCATCAGAGACAAACATGGTTGGTTATGTTCATAGGGTTTCCGTAGTAGGGCACAGAACAGTAAGCTGTATCTTTGTACACAAACAATAAAAAGGGTATCTTGAAAAAGTTTATTTTGAAGCCTTGCCTCTACCACGATATGTACATAGAAACATGTGTGATTGTGAGTGTGACAAAATGGGTGCACCAGTTGTATATAGACTTGGGACTGGGTGGCTGTTTGTTTGATTCTATGTTGTTTTTAAGTTTATCAGATAGATTGTAAGTAGTATCCAATGTATAAAAAGTAAAATGATGTCTGCATCAATTCGTATCAGAGCTCGTTTCTGATTTTATGGAGGAACTAATTCCTTCAATCATATATCACGTATTTCTATTCAATTCTCTCTATACTTCCGATTCTCGTTACCTGCATCATACAGTTCGACTTCAGAAACCACAGCAACAATCATTGTTCTAAATCATAAATTCTACCAGCAGAACAGCTTGCATCTCAGAAACAAAAGACTTGGTGGAGCATCTCCACTCCACTACTTTGAGAGTTGGAAGAGAGCTTCCTCTGACATCAAGCATTCCAAAAATGTTATATACCTTGCTTCTCTGATTCTCTCACTCCTTCCCTAGATCCTCCATGACAGCTTCAATGCCACTGGAATTAATAAAACCCTACCTTGTTCTTCACACAACTTCGCTTCCAATCCAACCTTACTCCACCTTCTTCCCCATCTTCTTCATCCCTTCCATTGCCTTTCCTTCCACAAAACCACCTGCAACCCACAAACAAACCTACTCCAACTAAACTATAATAAACTGCAACCAAACCAACCACTCTTGACAGGTTTCCTCAAATATAAAGAAGCTGCCACTCGGAAAATGGTGCTGAAGAAACTGAGCAGAAAGGTCAAAACCTTAGTCACTAAGCCATTCGACAAGAAACGCGGTAGAAGCAGCCCTCCTCCTCTGCCTCCAGCTCCTTCCTTCCATAAACCTCCCTCTCCAATCCACTTCTCTCCATCGTCCCCTGAACAACAACAACTACTACTCTCCCCAATCATGCCTCCGCCGCCGCACCGCCGCCGCCCTGCTTTCCCATTTGTCTTCCCGCAGGAGAACTCCACCGTCCTCCCGGACCCATCCGCCTTCTTCTCCACCGCCCTCCTCTCTTCCCCTCTCCCCACCAATTCCTTCTTCCAGAACTTCACCCTCAAAAATGGCGATCAGCCAGAGTACATCCACCCTTACCTCGTCAAACCCACCGGCTCTGCCCTCTCCGTCTCCTACCCATCCATCTTCCACAACTCTGCTTTCACTTACCAGGTTTTCAACGCCGATCTCACCCTCTCCGCCGCCGCTCCCTCCGCCGCCGATCGCCACGTCATCACCTCCTTCAACGACCTCAGCGTGACGCTCGATTTCCCCTCTTCCAACCTCCGATTCTTCCTCGTCAGAGGAAGCCCCTTCCTCACTTGCTCCGTCTCCGGAAACACGCCCATTTCAATCTCCACCATTCACGCCATTCTCTCGTGTTCTTCCCCCACCAATTCGCTCAACAAGTACACGGTCAAGCTCAACAACAACCAGACCTGGCTCATTTACTCGTCGTCTCCAATCAATTTGACCCACACCACTTCTTCAATCACCTCCGCCGCCGGATTCTCCGGCATCCTGAGGATCGCGATCCTGCCCGACGAATCCGACCCGGGATCCGAATCCGAATCCGTTCTCGATCGGTTCAGCTCCTGCTACCCAGTTTCCGGGGAGGCGATTCTCTCCAAGCCCTTCTCCGTCGAGTACAAATGGGAGAAGAAAGGATGGGGCGATCTGCTTATGCTCGCCCATCCCCTGCATCTCAAGCTCTTATCCGGCGATGACTGCGACGTCACCGTTATGGAAGGCTTGAAGTACAGGAGCATGGACGGTGACCTCGTAGCCGTCGCCGGCGATTCGTGGGTCCTAAAATCGGATCCTGTTTCAGTGACTTGGCATTCGATTAAGGGAATCAAAGACAATGGCTACAATGAAATCGTGGATGCGCTTCGCAAGGATGTGGATGGCTTGAATGCATCGGCGATAGCCACGACCTCGTCTTACTTCTACGGCAAATTGGTCGCCAGGGGAGCTAGATTGGCGTTGATCGCCGAGGAAGTCGGTTTCCCTGATGTGATTCCGGCAGTAAGGAAGTTCTTGAAGGAGACGATTGAGCCATGGCTGGAAGGGACATTCAATGGGAATGGGTTTATGTATGATGGCAAATGGGGTGGCATTGTTACCAAGCAAGGACTAACAGATTCCGGTGCTGATTTCGGGTTTGGCATATACAACGACCACCATTTCCATCTGGGTTATTTCCTTTACGGCATTGCTGTTCTTGCCAAGATCGACCCGGCCTGGGGGAGAAAATACAGGCCACAAGCTTACTCTCTAATGGCCGATTTCATGAACCTGGGAAAGCGATCGGATTCGAGTTACACTCGTTTGAGGTGCTTCGATCTGTACAAGCTTCATTCTTGGGCGGGAGGGCTGACCGAATTTGCGGATGGACGGAATCAGGAGAGCACAAGTGAGGCTGTGAATGCATATTATTCAGCTGCTTTGATGGGATTAGCTTATGGAGACACCCATCTCGTCGCCATTGGATCCTCGCTTGCTGCGATGGAGATTCAGGCAGCACAGACGTGGTGGCATGTGAAGGAAGGTGACACCATCTATGCTACGGATTTCACTGCTGAGAACAAAGTGGTGGGAGTGCTCTGGGCCAGCAAGAGGGACAGCGGGCTGTGGTTCGCGCCACCCGAATGGAAGGAGTGCAGGCTTGGGATTCAGGTGCTGCCATTGCTGCCGATCACTGAAGTGGTGTTCTCTGATTTGAAGTTTGCGAGGGAGCTCGTGGATTGGACTCTGCCGGCGTTGGGGAGGGAAGGAGTTGGAGAAGGTTGGAAAGGGTTTGTGTATGCGTTGGAAGCGATGTTTGATAAAGGGAGTGCTTTGGAGAAGACCAAGAGGTTGAATGGCCATGACGATGGGAATTCGCTTAGTAATATGTTGTGGTGGATACATAGCAGAGATGATGAAGGAGGGTGTGAAGGTGGTGGAGGGAAGTTCTGCTGGTTTGGTCACTACTGTCACTAAAAGATCATTCCTTTATGTTACAAGACAGTTAGTTTGTGGAATAAATTCTGGGTTTTGTTGCTGTGTGTGTTTCTGTACATTATGTATTTGCTTGTTCTTCTTGATTGTGTTTTTCTACGAGCCATTTGCATTTGGAATCTGATGATACATATGCAGCAATGGCGTCTGAAGTCTGCTGCAACCCAGATACATGGAAAAGGAATACTAGTATTAGCATAACAGAATATGGCAAATGATGGCGAGAACCGTAAAAGCATTTTGGATTTGGATATGGATGTTCTTCAAATGCGCGAACACTTGGTCTGAGCTTTGGGAAATGATGATGGGCAATGATAGGTTCTTATCAACTGAACCACTTCAGTGCAGAGGTAGTCAAAGGAGAAGACGACTTAAAGAAGGAAATCTTGCCTACTTTTCCAGTTTGTTAGAGTGGAAAATTAGGGAACAACAATATGGGTTTATTGGAACTATTCGAAAGAAACAAAGATAGATGGGAAATCAGAAGGAAAAAAAACCCTACAAATACAACAAAAGCTACAGACTTGCAAGACAAGTAGCCCTCTCATCTCTGCAATGGAGATCTGGAGTGGTGTATCTCTCTGCTTCTCACTTCTGCCTCTTGTAAATCTTGCCCAGGAAGGACTTCAAAACTGCTTGCACAGCTTTGCTGGGATGAGCTTCTATGGAGGTTATTATTTTCTCGTAGCTTTTGCTCTCGTACTCCTCGAAGACTCCCTAATCAAAGATCGAAAAGTTTTAACAGTTGGAACTTTGTAAATGATTCTTACAGCAAATTGAGACGGGAATCGTGAAGAACGAAAGGTCAAACCTGGAGATTCAATTCATGGTAGAGGGCCTTCACTTTGGCAACATTGCCTGGATCAGCTTTGCCATAGTTCTCCTGCAAAGAGTTTTGAGCCATGGTTTAAGCCACATGAGGAGATCTTGAATAGAGAGAATGAACACTGAAAACGGTGGAAGGAAGAATACTTACGAGCAACAGTTTCTTCTGTTCATCATTGCTAAGTTGGAATGCTTTTACCACCAACCATGAGCACTTGAAATCTTCAATATCTGTTCCAATCTGCGAATTGGGAAAATGTCCAGTTAGACCAACTTTTCAGATGTCGTTCCTTGAATTTCTACCTTTTCCATATACAAGTTTGGTCAAGAGCTCACCTTGCCAATAGTCTCAGGATCACCAAAGCAATCCAAATAATCATCCTACAGAGGGAACCAAAACAAGCATTTAAAATATGAACCAGAAAGAGAAATTACAGGTGAGCATGATCAACCTCTTTCGATTATCATTCGGCACAAATCTCATTTTGTGTCTCCAAATCAGACCCACATTAAGCTGAAGAATCATATTGAAGTTCATGGGCACAGCAAGAGATTCTGCAAACCTAGATAAATCAACTATAAGAACAAAGGAGAGCCAAATAGAAGTTGATCATTACCTGCACTTGGAAGTAGGTTCCCATCTCAACCAAAATGTTCTGCACTTCGATATGGTTTTCGAGTTTCTCACCAGCCATCAGCAATGCACAAGCAACCTGAGCAGATATAGACATAGGTTGGATGATCAATACCACTATCATCAAAATCGAACACTTTCAAATTTCAAGTGCATTATGCTATCAAAATTTGCAGACAGAGTAAATGCCAACTCACAGGGAGGTAAAAGGAATAGTAAGCTGTCTTGTACTGGACAATTCTTCGGTGGCTGCAAAAGTTACCATCAATAAGGTTACATATAACACAGGATAGCAATGTGAAGGCAGAACAAAATGAAGCCCTTCTTAAAGTTAAAGCCACGACTAGAAAGTTACTGAGAAAAATAAAAGCTCGAGTTCCATGCTGAAATTCAGAAGTTGGAACTTACAACATATGCGACTTATAAGATGAAAAGATATCTCCTAAAAAAGAAATAAGTGGAAAAAAGGTGAAAAGGAGATGCATAATAGATTACTCACAGTGACTCAGTATACTTGGACAGATCCTTTTCTCCTTCAAGCGTTGTAATTAGATCTATCATCTGTCCATGGGCAGTTTGAAACTCCACCTAAAACAAGAAATTGAATTAGAGTAACTATCATGTGATCAAATCGAATGAACAAAAATTACAATATAATGAGATGCCAATCTAACCTCATTGAACAAATCCAGGAGATCCACATAGTAATCCTTGTTTCTGAAGTGTTTCTTGAGCATCCTCGGAATATGGTTCCTCAGCAGAATACCATCATTTACTGCAATCATACCAACCTGCAGAGATCGCATGCCAAGATTTCCAGTCCAATTGATTCACCAAATCAGAATTTGCAAAGTTACACTAGAAACAAATCACAGCAAGCACTTTCTCAGAACAGGTACCTTGGGCAGCCTAAACCAACAAGGTTGACCACGACGAGTGTGAGAGGCATCCATGATGTCATCAAGCACCAGAAAGTATGCTTGAAGCTGAAAAGGAATAGAACAAACAGCCAATGTCAGTGCCAAAAATATCAAGAAGATCATACCTTTGGCCATCATGCAACGAGGGGAATAGTAAAACCGGAAAGGGGAAGCATGAGTCCAATCAATACCCATTCAATACACCAACCAAGGGTGCTGGAAAGAAAGATTTCATCTTCAGTTAGGTCCTCTCCTTCTTTCAACAACTTGAGGCTGTCTACCACGGATAATCCCCGGTTCAACTTCCCTGTAAAAATCCAGCCAACATTACTAAACCATTTGCTGCAACCGAGTATTAATTTAACATCTTTCTGCAGATCAACTTTAAGTGCATCCCATACCTCCAGGCACAGTGTAGTCCAACATCTGCCACAAATAGAAACGAAAGAGACATTGAGTAAAAGGAGTTCTGAGATGCATACATTCATCAAACTAAGTCAATTGCACCAAGAGATGACCATTCCTAATAGTTGTTATTGAGATCTAGAATAGAAAGGAACCAAATTAAGAAGAGAACTCCCTACAAATAAAGAAAAGTTGCAGAGTAAGTAACCTTTTCAACCCATTGACTAGAATCAGGACTCCATTCAAAGGCAGGGTCTTCCAGGAGATCCTTCTTCAGGGTATCATAAACCTTCAGGAACATTGACTTCAGATCTGCCATGACGTGGAATGCTTAAAGCACAGGAGCAGTACCTGCCGATAACATTCTTCCAAAGTCAAGTTCCAACACCAGGTAACAAAAGAAGCTTATAACACACAGTAACCATAAATTTCGCAGCAAACTGGATTCTAAAGCAGCAGCTGGGATAAAACAAAGCACAACCCATCTGAATTTCCCCACAACCCAACAATACCCAGAAACCAAAGATGAAAACTTTCAAACGAATTGACCAAGAAACTTCCTTCAATCCAAAACATCAATCGCAAATCCTACATTGAAAAACGAATGCACAACCCAGCAGCAGATCCATGGCCAGAGTCATAGCAGAATTGTAACAACGCGAGCAAAAAGAAGGGGTCGGAGTAATCAATAGCGGGGGAAGAATCAATGAAGAACATACTGTAGCCGGCGGTGGGGGGATTGAGCTAGCTACGGGAGTAACTAGCGTCGGCGACAGGCGGGGAATCAGATCGCCGGCGGGGGGGGAAGGGAGATTGTTGTTTGAATGGGAATTGGGGGAGAATGAATGAAGAGAAGTATGAATTTTATGATCGACAAGTGTGGGGCTTTCTTTCGTGGGGAGATTTATTTATGGACAGGTTGAGCGTTCCCTCCCTGTGAATGGGATGTGAGGATGGAGGAGAGTGTCGCTGGTTGGTGGGCGGACTGTGGGGAGTGTTTGCACTTTTACCAGTCACTCTGCTCTCTCTGCTATTTCTCCTTTTTCTTTCTTTGTGATGGGGACTTCAAAGAGAGAGAGAGAGAGAGAGAGAGTCAATAGTGTTGTGCTCGTTCTTAAATTCTCCAAGGTTTCCTTCTTCCATTAATGAGTCTAAGGTTGTGTACTTGGTTTTTATTTTAATAGAGAAATATATAAATTTTAGGATATATATTATATATACATAAGTCCATATTTTCTAAATAATATATTGGTGTGGGTGTGTGAAATAATAACTTGTGCTCAACATAATTTGAGTAATTATTTTAATGTGAATTCAATAAATCATTTTTAGATAAAAGTTTGCTATTAAGCAAATTTTGATCATCAGTTATTTTTTAATCTGGCTGTTTATACCACCCGGCTGCGACAGCATGATGGTTGGTTTGATGTGCAAGTGTTAGTTTTGGGCCTGTCGTGTTTACGATCTCGTGTCTTGTTTTGATATTGGGCTTTTCTTTCAATGGGTCGGTCAAGCTTTAATCAATTTTTTTTGTTTTGTTTTGCTGATTTTGTCTATAATCTGTATACTCTTCTTTGTATTCATTTTTCTATCATATTTCGTCTATTCAAATATTACCTTTTTTATGCAAATAATATCGTATCTTACTAGTTTTACCATCTTTAGAATCATGAAAGAAAACAAACAAATCATAAGATGACATATAATACGATCCTAAATCTGAATATTGAAGTGTATATATATATCATTGATCACTCCTATCTATCTTTTTGCATATTTTACTCTCTCACTTGTTCTTCTTCCTCTTCAAACAAACAAACAACTCAATAAGTTATCTAACCTTTTCACCAACCTATAGAATTTCGGCCATATTTTATGACAATTGTTTCATCGATCTTCATATAAACTTGCTCATGCAACAACCCGTAACACTAGAGTTTCCACCTAAAGCCAAATATTGGTTCTGGGAAAGCATCTCCTTGGGAATCCTGATGGAGGGTCAAGATTCAGTGGCTGGGCGACACGTGGACGGCAGTGATTGCGCCAGTCAGGGTGGAGAATCCGCCAATGGAGCTGTGGTACCAGTAGCAAGAAATTTTGTTTTGCCAAATGATGGTTACAATAATGTTTGTTTATTCATCTTGGAAATCTCCTTTGTGAAAGATTCGTATTTCTGAGAGCCAACAAACCAATGAGACATTGGGAATATTTTTCAGAGATTGTGTGCATCGAACAAATATTTAATTATTATTATGCTAGTAATCTAACACCAAAGAGATGTTCTTCAAATAAGTGCTTAGATCGATCACATGTAGATCTCCCAAAAGAAAAGGAGGGAAAAAAATAACAATTATATATTGGAGATAGCCAGCCTTTCCTCCTCGTGACAATTGAAATAAGAACTCTTGCACTTTCCTTGAAAATTATTCACATATATATTAAGAAGTCAAATAAGAGGTGATCTATATATAAAATTCCATTATTTCAAAATTAACATGGATAATACAGTACTATATAGGGCTGGCAATCGGTTTTCCGGTTAGCGGCTAACCGGTCGGTTTTGACCGAACCGACCGGTTTTCGGCTAACCGAAAACCGTCCTTAATTACATTCGGTCGGTTGTCGGTAGCGAAGGGAGAAGGCTCGGCTAGCCGACCAACCGAGGTCGGAAACCGGCGGTTAGCCGACTAACCGAGCCTTCACCCAACCTCCTAAACGACCTGGCCCCCCCTCTCAAAACGACCCGGCCCCCCAAACCCTAGCCATCCCCTCCACCCTCTTCTCTTCCGCATCCTCTCTCTCTTCTCTTCCCTTTCACCTCTCAAAATGAAAACCCAGAAAAATAAGATCCTCTTCTCTTCCGGCATCCTTCCTACCTCTCTTCTCTTCCCTTTCACCTCTCAAAGAAAACCCAGAAGAAGAAAGAAGAACCAGATGACCACCGCCGCCCTCCTTCTCCCTCCGACTCACGACCACCGCCGCGCCGCCTGCCGTCTCCAACCGCCGCCGCGCGAACGCCGCCGCGCCGCCTGCCGTCTCCAACCGCCGCCGGCTTCGCGAGGTCTCCCGCGAACGACATGCAAGCAAGAAGGCGGTGGATTGAAAATGGGGAGTGTGAGATTTCGAGGAGGAAGACGGTGAAGGACTGGAAAGGAGGCGAGTTGAAGAGGGTGGAGGAGAGGTCGGATTCGGTGGCGGAGCAGATGTGGGGGACGTCGGCCGGGATGGGGTGGTGGAATCGGACTGCGGCAGGCCAGTGGGCGGCGTGGGAGTCGGGGTTGGCGGCGGCGGAGGTGCTGCGGCGGCCATTTCTCGGTGGGAGGATTTTTGGGGTTTCTTTCTAGAGTTAGGGGTTTCTTTCTGAGAGTCTTGGGAGGATTTTTGGAGAGAGAAGGATTGAGGAGATAAAGAATGAGTGGTGGGAGGATTTTTAGATTTTTTTTTTTTTTTATTAGGGTGTGGTTTTCGGTCTTGGGGCTAACCGAACCAAAACCGGCCAACCGACCGGTCGGTGATCGGCTAACCGCTGTATCTCCCACGGTCGGTGGTCGGTAGCCGGGGGTGGTCGCTCGGTTTAACCGATAACCGAGAATTCGGTTTTCGGTTAAACCGAAACCGACCGACTGACACCCCTAGTACTATATACTATATAAATTAGCTATCATGACAATTCAAAATGTGACGGCCACCAATTAACAACCCTGAAAATGACCAATATATAAAATATGTAAAGGGTTGAGAAAAGTTGCATGATTTGCATATGGGCTTTGTGGGGTTCATCATATTTGATTTTTCCAATGTAATCATGAATATGAAGTTTGTAATTGTTTATCATACATTATGTATTTTTAATTGATGGCTAATATTGAGGATGATTAGATATTAAACACTAGAACTTTGATTAGCTCTAATACTGTGTCAATTTTGCAGTTGAACTTAATAATTCGAACTATTAATAGAAAAAGTTTCATAATGAATCTGGTGGATCCTAAGAAAATTTTATTCTATTGGACGGAAACAACCCCACCCCGGGGTCACTCGGGTCAAATACTTTGGGTCACCTTGGGGTCACTCCGGCCACCCCGGGGTCAAATACCTTGAGTCACCTAGCCCACCTTGGGGTCACTCAAGCCACCCCGGGGTCAAATACCTTGGGTCACCTTAGGGTCACTCCGGCCACCCCCGGGTCAAATACCTTGGGTCACCTAGTCCACCATGGGGTCACTCCGGCCCACCCCGGGGTCACTCCGGTCACCCCCGGTCAAATACCTTGGGTCACCTTGGGGTCACTCCGGCCACCCCGGGGTCAAATACCTTGGGTCATCTTGGGTCACTCCGGCCACCCCGGGGTCAAATACCTTGGGTCACCTTTGGGTCACTCCGCCCACCCCGGGTCAAATACCATGGGTCACCTAGCCCACCTTGGGGTCACTCAGGCCACCCCGGGGTCAAATACCTGGGTCACCTAGCCCACATCGGGGTCACTCCGGTCATCCGGGTCAAATACCTTGGGTCACCTTAGGGTCACTCCGACCACCCCGGGGTCAAATACCCCGGGTCACCTCGGCTACCTTGGGCTCTCCGCCCACCCCAGGTCACCTCAACCTTTAGCCACGTACCACCCTCAACGTGTCCTCTCACCACACCACCAAGATCTCGAAGGAGACACGTACTCCCTTCATGTTCACCTGGGGGCCTCTATAAAAGGCCACTTCGTCTCCGGATTGAGGTAAGTAAAAAATCCTCATGCCTAAACCCATGAACTCGCGCTATGATTAGCGTAGAGGTTCATTTCCTACTCCATTCCTTCATCTTTCTTTTCGAGGTCATATTCCTCTCCACTCAACCCACTCACTAACTTGAGCGTCGGATAGTGTCCCCGTCGAGATCGGCCGACAGACCCTTTTTGTAGAAGACGACCGGAGCCGACATCACAAGTGAAGTTCAAGGTGAAAAGTGGTCGTCGACCGACTCCGGTGCCCAACATTAAAAAAAAAACTCGACGTCGGCTACAACCTTGGCATCAACAGAATCTCATACAAAAATTGGAGGGTAAGAAAATAGGTTCATCATAGTTTGATGTTGTTGGAAGGAATTTGATAGTATATTGCATCTGATACAAGAGAATAAGTTACAATTAAAAATTATCTATTTTCAAAACATAGAATACCTACAATATGTTACAGATCGAAAAATTACAACAAACAAACAAGTCATGAAATTGGATCACAACCCTCATAATAAAAAAAAACCCTTGAAATTTAAGGGCATGCTTCTAGCTAGTGAAGAAGATTAAACAATCCGAATCAAAAGAAGGTAGGAAAAAAAAAACAAAAAAGGAATATATGCATACAATATGTATAACTAATTCGAATCAATTAATCGATCATCAGAAAATGATTCGTCATTAGAAGTAAATCAAATCGAGTATCAGCAACCAGGCGGTGGCGGTTTTCCTGAAATTATCGGCTTAACGTTGATGCACGTCGATTTGGCACCCCCCTTCGTACAGGTTAGATCAATGTCGGTCAACGCAATTCCTTCACACGGATTCAAACTGCTGCACTTCAACGTGATCGTATCTGGGTCCGTCGTAGTCCCATGAATGTTTGTGAACGTCACGTTACTTATTTTCACCTTCGACGCTCCCTGAAAAGACATGAGAAATTATCAGACTTTTTTTTTTCTTCGCCCTTTTTCGCGACCCGTCACTAAAAATCGGTGACTAAAAGTTGAGATATAACGAATTCGTCACCTTGGACTTGCACGCGCCATCCGGACAGTACTCTTGATCAATGATAATGGCATTCTGCACATCATCCAACGTAATATCGTCGAAATGTATGTCGGAGGCAACTCCGGCCTCCTGGTCCGGCCACGACTTGATCCTGACGCCGTTTTCCGTGTCCTTGAGGGTGCAATTCTTGACGTGGATTCCGGTCACCGGAGATTCGTTGGGGTACTTCCCCAGGGAGCCGATGGCGATCCCGTGGCCCGGACCGCACGTCACCCCCTCGATGTTGACGTTGGTGACGCCGTCGACCATGGAGATGCAGTCGTCGCCGGTGGCGATGGTGACGTCGATGATGTTGATGTCGCTGGACATGCTGAGGTGGATGCCGTCGGTGTTGAGGCTGTCGCCGGGGGCCGTGATGTTGACTTTTGTGAAGGTGACGTTTTTGGAGTCGAGGACGGCCATGTGGAAGAAGTTGCTGTCTTTGCTCGTGATTCCGGTGACCAGCCCATTGGTGACGGACTGGAACCTGAGATTCTGCACCAATTGGCGACAAACGATTAGTCCGTCACTGAAAAGTGATAGTAAGTGGTATATAATTCAGAATTGAACCTCTTTCAATTAATGATTGTGAAACCATACTCGCCGTTTTATAGAAAAAGTTAGTGATAGTATATTTTTTACTAATTTCATCCATTAAAACCGTCTAAGTTCGGGTATCTCGTAGCTTCAGTCAGATCGTTCAGTAGAGTAGGATTTCTAAAATATTGCTCCCAACAACTCGAATTATTGAGAACAAGTGGTTCATGACAGGGTATCAGTAGGGGTGTTCAAACGGATTGGTTACCATGGTAACCATATTAACCGGTAGCATTCGATTAATTTGGTTTGGTTAATTTGGATAATTGGTTTTGGTTATTTTTTTTTTTTTTTGCTTATTTGGTTTAGGTGGTTTGGTTTGGTTTCAACACTGCTAACCAATGAAACCAATTAATGATACACTTAAAAATTATTTATACTTCCATGCAACCAACCAAACCAAACTTTCGTGATTTCCTATTTTATTTCTATGTGCACAACAAACCAAAACATTGTGCGTCAAAAATTAAATGGGTATGTCTATTTACTAAACCAAAACATCCTAGACAGCTACTAGACTTTAGGATTACGTACAATAACATGACAGCGACCTCAAACTATGCATAGTTTAAGTATTTTGTAGGAGAGCTTTAACTGCCTGATGAGTGGTATGGGTATGTATTTAATACTTATGTTAAGGGTTTGTTGTAAGCTAACTATATTAGGCGCAGAGATGATGAATGATGTATTAACTCGAATGATGATCATAATCATTGTTATGTTAATTGGTTAATCCGATTATCCGATTAACCAAACCAATTAAACTTTGGTTTGGTTAATTTGGTTTTCGTGTTAATTTGGACGGTTTGGTTAAGACATTTTATTCCACGATTAATGAAATATAGGCTTAATTGGTTTGGTTATTTCCACGGTAACCATTTGAACACTCCTTGGTATCAGGGCAGTTTGTGGCCGAGAGGTCTTCTGTTTGATTTTCGGGGACCCTGTTTATTTAGCCTATGATATTTGGACCTATGCAAAATTCAAGGTCATATATGACGAATTTCGTTTGAATGGGGTATTATCAAGTGATATATGATCAATAATTGAACACCTTCCAACAATTTGAGTTATTGAACGAACTGATTCTTTGCAAACATTGGTTTTTTGGTGTCGGGAAGTAATACTAGCATTAGCAACGAGTGGTGGAAAGCATAGATGACAACATACCGCTGCATTGGGCTCCGTTTTGCCGGCGCCTTTGCCGTCGAATGTGCCGGTCCCGGAGAGTACGAAGTTCTCAATGTGTTTGAAGACGAACCAATTATCGCCGATAATTGAGTCTTTAGCCGAAATGGTTCCAAGAACTTGGACTTCGATTGGGGCTTTACATGGTCCGGTAACCACCGCCAGGCCACATACGAATTCTCCCGCCGGAATCACAATCGTCGACGGCGTCGGCGAGTTACATGCCCCTACCCATGTTTTTAGGAAGGCCTATATATACCCAAGTCAATTAGCTTAAGAAAGAAAAAAAAAATAGTCAAGCATAGGGATGACTAGGTAAGAATACATAAGTTGTAGCACATGCTAACTACATGTTAAACTAAAACATCATTTAAGTCGACAAATGCTATGACGAATTGAGTGTGATTTATTTTAATGAAAACTTTTCCGAGACGATTAGCTAACAAATTACTTGTCGATAGTCGGAGGGTAAAATTCTTTATACTCAAAGATTAATTTATAATCAAAATTATCATATTAATTCTACGACTGGTTCAACATTTTGTTATTGTCTGAAGATAGTGAATGCTCTCTTTAAAAATAAACAAACTAGTAGAGTTTAGAAAACGAGTATTGTATGTATAATTTTGAGGATATATTATTATTTCAAAAGGAAAATCATTGTTAATGATATGAGTAAAATTTAAGAAAAAATTAGATACTTTGTAAGGTTTTTTTTAATAGATATACCAACATAAAAGTAGCAAGAAATACTATGTAAATTGTTGACATTGAAGTGATTTTTATTGAGGCACAATCCTAAGGTTGGAAATAATGATATGAACTAGAATGCATCAAAGACATCCTTGGAGACATCATTTGGCCTTTTACTAACATAAGCAATTCAAAAGAAAAGGAATAAAACTAAACCAAATTCAACAACCTAATTCATGGAAGCTAATTAAATCAATCAAACCTTCTAGATAATTACCATCATCATATCCGTCTTCCCATCTGGAATGGCGCCATATTTTGTGACCTCAAATATAGTACCGCTAGATGGTCCACCAACAGGTGCACCAACAGTTCCAGAAGTTGAACCACCAGGTCCTCCAATTGGTGCACCACCAGGTCCAGGAGTTGCACCACCAGGACCCGGAGCTGAACCACCAGCACTAGGTCCACCAATAGGTGCACTACTCGGTTTAGATGTTGCACCACCAGGACCAGGAGCTGCACCACCAGGTGCGCCAATAGCTGCACCACCAGGTGCGCCAATAGGTGCACCACCAGGTTTAGGTGCTGCACCACCAAATCCAGGAGCTACAACGGGAATTTGTGCATTAACCAAGAAACCGCCACAACCGACAAACGTAACAATTTGCAACAAAAAATACAATGTCGTCATTATTGGTATTCCTCGTCTCGAAGCCATATTATATGAAAACTTCTCGTTTGCTGCTTCTCTTTCAAATTCCTTGGCGGGGTTTGTTTGTAGCCGAAGGAAGCAAGCAAAGACGAGGAATGTTTGTATGATCCTCTCGTCTCTTTCTTTCTTTTCGATTTCCACTTCTCGTTTTCAAAATTATGTGTTTTTTCTCCGTTGATTTCTCAGAAAAGTATTAATAGCGGCAGAAACTATGGGACTCGTTCGAGAACGCAAACTAATTTGAGATAGGAATATGGTCTCTCCCAATTGAAACCCAATTGGGTTGATTTGCAAATTTAGGGCTAAAACCGGATAAGGTGCAATACCGTCAGTTTTTGCAAACCCAATCTTGAGTCAAACTAATTTCCCCAATTGGTCATTCACCAATCATCTAAAAGAAAAAGGGGGGAAAAAATCAAATCCCTCTCATACTCCATTCGTTTTTTGGAAGAAAAAAAAATTTCCTTTGACTTCTAGAAATGTACATATACAGAAAAGTTCAGCAATCTCCATGCAGTACTAAACAATGCAACACTTGCATGAAATTAGTGCAGTACAACACAATTCATTCATTCACAACAAACAAAACCCAAAATTACACAAACTTCCTAGTCGCCTGGGCAAAAGGGCAACTACAGTGCAAAAGCTATCTTCTGCAACAACTTAACTTAAAGAACAAGTCTCTCACTGATGTAACTCCCACTCGAGGTGCAGTACTTGCATGCGATGAGAGGAATGTGCTGAAAGTTGGCACGATCTTCTCCACGAACACGCTCCACCAATTCCTGAGAAACGTTCTCGAGCCTCAGATCTTCAAGCTTGCTCAGGCACTTGATCCCTTCAGATATCACCTTTAGATTTGGGCAGTCTCTTACCAGCATGGTTCCAAGATCCGGCATCACTCCTCCTCCACCAATTGTCAGCTTCTCTAAGTTAGGTAAATTGGCTAACGCCAAAGCCCTGAGATTGCTAAATCCAGTCATGAATCTCAACTCGGTACCCTGATAAGCATTGTTGAACCAAACGTTCCTCAGGCTATCCATCCGTTGGAGATGCACAACTGGATCTTCCTCCACGGGCAGCCTGCTCCAGAGCAATCGTATTGTCGCGAGGCTTTGGAGCGAACGAATCCAATCCGGAAAGTTGTTCAGCTTCCCGCACAGGATGAGATACCCGAGGAGCTGAAGTGATGATGAAGAAGAAGTGGATTCATTAAGGGAATCCATCTGGAGGACTTCTTCTTCCTTACTTGCTATCACAACCAACCATTGCAGCAACTGCATAGTTTGTAGCGACGAGCACAGATCTTCCATCTGAGCTCGGCCTTCCAAGTTTGTGATCCCCAGTTGTACGAGCTGGGTCATTTTTTTCAGCTGCTTCACTATCTCTCCGCTTGCTTCCACCAAGCGCAGAGCCTGCAAGTTCTTCAGAGAGCTGATATCTGCACCGGATGGAACTTTCACCCCTTTTAGTTTGTTGTATTCCCGTAGACTTCCAAACTCGAGATTGCCTGACAACAAGTGGCGTAGGTTTTGCAACTTCACAACTTCGCTTGGAAGGACTTCGATGTTGGTGCTTAGGATTTCAAGAGTTTGGAGACTCCACAATTTTCCGATACTCTTTGGGAGAGTTTTCACCATAGTGCTGTTCAAGTTCAAGTACTTCAAGTTGAGTAAGACGGCTATTTGCTCAGAGAGTTTCTCCAGAGGGGACTTTTCCATATCCACCACACGTGTGAGTCGAAGGTGGCTCCAAGGGAGTTTGCTTAGAGAGAAATGATTGTCTCTAGCAAAGATGATGATAGAGCGAACATGTGATGTACCTTCGACTAAATTAGCCACTTCTCGCTCGCTGCTTGCTTGCTGGATGGATAAACGTCGATTGTTGGATGACTTATCTTCAAGAAGACGTGTACCATCATATACCGAGCAAAACTTCTCTTGCTTTGATATCGTAAGAGCAATCTCTCTGTACAAATCATGCATCTTACACTTCCCGTAACCTCCATACATCTCCCATCTCACAGCTTGGAGAAGATTTCGACCAATCAATTCTTTGATATATCGCATGCCAACCTCTTCTGGCGATACTCCATTTTCACCTGCTTCCACAAACCCCTCCGCCATCCATAGTCTGATGAGTCTATCGCACCAGATCCTGTGGTCCTCTGGAAATAGAGCAAAGTATAGGAAACAACACTTCAAACGATATGGAAGATCGTTGTAGCTCAGAAGCAGGATGCTTTTTGTGGATTGCAGCATTTGACTGTTGCTCAACTCCCACTGCAAGTTCTTGAGAACCATTGTCCATGCGCCTAATGTACAGCTTTTAGTGGCCAAGAGACCACCCACTGAAGTAATGGCGAGAGGAAGACCTTCGCATTTGTCGATAAGCTCATTCGCTACATCTTGAAGCTCTAAAGAGCATGTTTTGAAATTTCTTGATGAGAAAGCTCTACGACAAAACAGCTCCCATGCCTTGTCCCTGTCGAGTGGTTTAACATTGTAGATATGGCTTCCAGCTTCAGATGAAAAGTGCAGGGCAATATCTTCCATACGAGTTGTGAGCATAACTCGGCTGCCCTTCTGCCCATTTGCAAGGACCACCTTTATCTGGCTCCAAACATTAATACTCCATACATCATCTAACACAACCAAGTAAGTCTTCTGCTCAAGATAAGCCACCAGCTTCTCTGTAAGCTCTCGATAGCTCATGACACTCAATTCCGTTGTTGGAATCCCTTCTTCTGTATTTGATTTGTTGAACTCCTTGATCAAGCTTCGGAGCAGTTCGTCAATATTGAAAGTTTGGGAGACCGTAATCCAAGCACGACAATCAAAGTTTTGCTTGACTACAGGAGAGTTGAACAAGTTAGCCACCAAAGTGGACTTACCAGAGCCACCCATGCCAACCACTGAAATAGTAGTCCGCTGCAAATCCCCGTTGGTGAGAAATCCCAGAAGTGCCTCTTTCGGTGCTTCAATCCCTACAAGATCGTCTTCATTGAGGAACAGAGCAGCCTCGGAGTTGAAAAGTGTTCCGCCACGGTTGGAGCCTGAAGCTGACTCTTGACGATCAACAGTGTACCGTTGATACCTCTCAGGTATGGTTTTGATCATGCTGTTGAGTCCCCGGAGGCCTGTAGCAATCTGCCGCCTCTCCCAAAAGTACTTGGGGAAGCCAACGGTTCTCTTAAAGTACCACACGAATGTATGGTCGCCTCGCCACTTGTTTATATGGTACATGTACTTGTCGATGATGTCTTCAACATCGTACACCAGATCTCTGACTTGGGCAACCTGGGTTTCCATTGATTTGGAACTGGTGGACTTTGGATCATCAGCATCCTCCAGAAATGACCTCATGCTCATCAGCTCCTGCTTCATCGCCTCCACTCGGCCACGAGCTTCTCCATATAAAGTTGCTTCCTTTACCAGAAAATCCTCCATCTTCTGGGCCATGTAGTCGATAGGTAGCCCAGCCATCTCTGCTTAACTGCAAGCTCAAAGAAGAAGAAGTGCAATGGTCTGAAAGGAAGAATGTAAATGGGAAGAAATGATACTGATTCAAAGTGCAGATATCCGAAAGGAAGAATGGAATTGGAAATGGTAGTGATTGAAACGTGAAGGAAGAACCCCGTTATATACACACACGTACCCTTTTCTAGATGATTGACAAGACTTGACTACAATATAAAATGACTCCAACTTACCAACCAAATGAAGGAGTAGGTTATTTAACAAAACATAATCAAGACCACTGCAATCTCCATGACGCGTTCTGTGTATAAAATTGACTTTGTCGTGCATAAACTAGGCATCAATTGAAGGTGAAGATTGTTAGATAAGACTTGGGTACGCCGGCAGGGCTTAGCTAAGCACACTAACATTTTCGTCATATTCAGCTAAGCACACTAACATTTTCGGCAGGGCTTAGCTAAGCGCACTAACATATTCAGCTAATCAATAGAACTTTCGTCATATTCAGGGGACAAAGGTCAAAAAGAAATCTCAGCTCGCAGAATTTGTTCCTGCAATTCCCGGAAGTTTTCCTATTTCAAGCAAACAATGATTCCCTACTGTAAACCCTTTTTAACTTAAAACCTTTGCCCACAAGGTGTTTGTGTTTTGCCCGCGGGAAAAAGTGTGAATGCGCGTGAGGGGGTGCAGTACAGAACTCACTCACCGTGCTTAGGATTTCCATGGCGGATTCGCGGAAGATGTGCTCGCCTTCGTTCGGTTGCGGCGGGTAGGACCCAGATGGAGAAAGCGATGTAGACTTCCAATTGAAGGAGAGAAGAAAGTTTCTCCGTGGTTTCCACCATGGTCGAATGGAAGAAGCTCGGTCGGCGAGAATAGCTGTGGTCTCTTCTCTCTAGTCCTCGTCTGTCGAATTTCCCCGGGAAAGTACAACTAGTAACTGATAAGGTCCGACCGCACAATCAGCATTGGATGATGGAACTCTCAAGAACCAGTTGCTCCCAATAACTCGAGTTGTTGGGAGAGGTTCAATCGTGAATCTTATACCACTCTCTAACAGGAACAACCTTAAGCCCGGTCCAAAACTTTCATTCCTCTAAGTGAATTGGTAACGACGGATTATTTTTCTTGCTCAACTTCAATGGTTTCAGTCACTATATATGACTCCAGTCCACTAGGGGTGAAAGCTTGTCCCTGAAGACCCACTGACCCGTCCCGACCCGTCCCGTCCCTAAAGGTCGGGACGGGTCAGTTTGTCTACAGGGACAGATTAGGGACGGGTCAATTGTTGACCCTGTAAGGGCCGGGACGGGTCGGGACAACTTAGGGACGGGTCAAGACCCTGTGACCCTTAGCAACAACAAATATCTCATACTTCATTGGACCTTTTTGTAAAGTTTTAAAAGTTTAGGTACTAATTTGTAAAAATAAAAAAATTTGGGTACCAAAACGTAATTTTACCATCAAAATTTATGGACTTATTTGTAAAAAAAATAAATTTAGGTACTAAATTGTAAGAAAAAATAATTTTGGGTACCAAAACGTAATTTGTAAAAAAGTAGTGTGTTGATTAGGGTCGACCCATTGACCTGGCCCGTCCCGTCCCGTCCCAACCCTTGAGGGTCAGACAGGGTCAAGAAGGAGACAGAGACGGGACATGACGGTTATACATCTTGACTCTTCAGGGAAGGGTCAGACAGGGACAAGGACGGGACAGACAAATTTTCAGTCCCCACAGCCCACCCATTCAAAAAAGAAGCACGGTATACAAATATGAACTCCTAATGCTAAGTTGGTGAGGAAAATTACCCAATTAGCCCGTTTAAATAGGTTCAAAATCAAGAAACGAAATCAATGCTTGCTAAAGAATACATTTTTTTTGAATGAAAGGGAGGCAAAAGCCAGGAATTAAGAAAAAGAACAGACTCCCCCAACCTGCCGCAGGGAACAACTGGCAGACCAAGGCGGGGAGGAGGCCAAAACAAACAACCCTTTAGTCCAACATTAACAGAGGCACAACCACAGCTCGCTCTAAAGCTAAACATACTAGTCCCTGTTCAGCAGCACCCTTCTTGGGAAGCTGGCGCCAATAATGTCCTCTCTTAAAATCCGTTCTAGGTCTCTGGGTGGATTGGTTAGCTCACACGTACCGAAGGGATAGACGAGACTGTGCTTCGAGAGCCAGTCTGCGACTCTATTCCCCTCTTTGTACGTGTGAACTAACTGCACCACCTAGTTCTGAGACATTAACCTCCTGATGGCAGCCAAGATCGTAGAATGAGGATGGGCCGGATCTTCACGGTTCTTGATGAGATCAACAGCCAACTTCGAATCAGTTTCCAAAATAAGAAATTGTGTACCTTGATTCCAAGCCATAAGGAGACCCTCATGGATTCCCCAAAGTTCAGCTAAAATAGCCGAACCAGTCCCAATCTTGCAACAGAAACCACCTAGCCAGTCACCATCGCTGTCCCGGAGAACTCCACCAGCCGTTGCCAAACCTGTCCCACCTTGAGATGCTCCATCTGTGTTCAACTTCTTCCAACCAGCCGTCGGGGCCGTCCATCCCACCAGCCTGTCTTCACGTGGTGGCTTCTCCAGAGAAGTCAAGTTGTAGTTAGCCCTTTCCCAAATGTCCAGCCAGTCCTTCGCCTTAGAAATAACATAGTTGATGAGCGATGACCCAACTAGCTTCTTTCCCTGAAAAATAAACTCATTTCTGTGTTTCCAAATATACCAACAAATTAAGGCAAATCTGCTCGGCCAAACTTCCTGGTCAACTTCTTTATTGTCGCCCTTAATGTTCATTCTGAACCAGGTAGGTTGATCCACAGAAAAGAATCTAGAGTGCTCCTGGGCTGGAACCATTTTCTCCCAGATTTTCCTTTCCGCAGTACAGTCTCTAAGACAATGCAAGTTGGACTCAATGGTGTCTGAGCATAAAGGGCATTTGTCATTTGCAGTTAGGTGTCTCCACTTTCGCACACTATTTGTGGACAACCTCCCTTTAGTAGCAAGCCAAATAAACCATCGAACCCTCTCGGGACAATGGAGCTTCCAAATTTTGCGCCAATCAAAATGTTCTGGATCACTCTGTTCCGGGGAGCCTGCCAAGTACGCCGAGCTAGTACTGAAGAGGCCGTTAGAAGAAAGCTTCCAGAACAGTCTGTCATTTTCATGAGAGAGGGGGTCCAGCATGGTGGACCGGATTTTGTTGATGACCTCAAGAGGTAAGTACGCTTGGAAGTCTTGTACCCTCCATCCAATGCTAGAATCCCAATAGTCAGCTACCGTCTTATGCTCCAGCTCGGTCGGGACTGCATTAGTGGTAACCTCCACCAAAGGAATCTGCAACACCCATATATCCGTCCAGAACTTAGTTTTTCTGCCATTTTTAACATTATAGGCTGCTCTTTTGCGCAACAAATTAGCAGTTTGAGCAAAACTATTCCAAGCAAAAGAACTTCCCTTTCTTTTGTTGATGACTTGAAGCCCTTCTCTCGTTCCTCCGTACTTGCTCCTCATCACCCTAGCCCAGAGAGCCTGATCTCCAGTGGCCAACTTCCACGCACCCTTTGACAACATCGCTTGGTTCGCCAGTCTAGTGGGTCGGATCCCTACTCCTCCTTGGTGTCTTGGTTTCGTCATCTGCTCCCACGATATCGGGTGGAACTTTTTTTTACCGTCCTCTTCTCCCCACACAAATTGGCGATTCAACCTGTCCAGAGAAGCACAAATACACGCAGGTAATCGTTCGGAAAACATCGGATAGATAGCCATTGAGGAAGCTACCGATTTCACCAGTGTAATCCGGCCTGCTACGGAGAGATGGTTAGCTTTCCAGGTCGCGAGCTTCTGCTGGATCTTTAGAATCAACTCTTGGTAACGCCCTTTAGTGATCCTGCCATTGATGGCTTTCAGCCCCAAGTACTTACCCAGATCCTCAGTCAGGGAAATACCAGCCCTAGAACTGAGTCTCTGAGCTTTGTCTCTCTGGATATTGGGTGAAACATAAATAGCTGATTTGCTGAGATTCACCCTTTAACCCGAGCTTGAGCAGAAATCTTGCAAACAGGATCGAATAACATCAATCTGGCCACCTTCAGCTTCTGCAAAAAGAATTAAATCGTCAGCGAAAAATAGATGAGAAAGCTTTGGACCATTTTTCACCAAGGAAATTGGTTTCCAAAGTTTCTCATCTACAGCTTGTTCAATACGATGAGTGAGACGTTCCATACAGAGAACAAAAAGGAAAGGGGATAAGGGGTCTCCCTGTCTGACACCTCGAGATGGTCTGAAAGTCGAGGTGAGTTTTCCATTCCAGTTGATTCTCATTTGATTCTTCTCGACACAAGCCATGATCCGGCTGATCCAAGTACTAGGAAGGCCTATCTCTCCAAGGGTGTCTCTTAGGAAGCACCAGTGGAGGCGGTCATAGGCTTTCTCTAAGTCTATTTTGATCACCATACCACCCTTTGTACCTTTCTTGTTTCTCAAAGAGTGGAGGGTTTCTTGAAGCAGAAGGATATTGTCATTGGTTTGGCGACCCTTAATAAATCCACTTTGAGTAGGAGCAACCAGCTTAGGCATCAAAGGTTTAAGACGATTTGCAATGGCCTTTGTTATTGCTTTTAAAGCTACATTATTAAGGGTGATAGGTCTGAATTGAGCTGGAGTCTCTGGATGAGCCACTTTGGGGATGAGCACCACTGTAGAGTCAAAAATCTCTTCCGGAATGTTGTCGGTATCAAAGAAATGAGTTGCCATCTCCGTTAGGTTCCTCCCCACCAAGAACCAGAACTTCTGATAAAAAATCGCCTGAAAGCCGTCTGGACCAGGTGCCGACATAGGTTTCATTTTGAAGATAGACTTGTGAAAGTCCTGAATGTGAAAAGGGTGTAGAAGTTGGAGGAGTTCTGTCTGCTGCAGGCGAGGAAAACAACCCTTTAGCATTAAATCTTCATAAGTACCTTCCTCCTGGGTGCTAAAGAATACATACTAACATAATATTTCCCATGATTTTATATATTTATTGCTGTGCGTCTGTGAAACCGTACCAACGTGTAGTTTGATAAAAAAACTCCCTTAAGTCTTAGCGAAGCTCTAAACCTATAGACGGTCGGATTTCAGCGATTCAAAATAGTTGAACTATAAACGATTAAACCATGGCTTCAACCTTCAATATAATATTGTTAAAAAAACCTTCAATATAAAGTACACTATCACTGACACCGACTTTTCCAGTATTCGGTTTTACAACCATTGGTTTATCGTAATCCATATACATATTCCCCTAAAGATCATCATCGTCATCGGGAGCCCAAAAACCATGGAAACCAAGCGGGAAATTGAGCTCTCTGGGGACTTCCAACCTCGCCGCAATAGCATCATCGCCTTCCCCGATCCTCTTCGGATCCAAAATCACCAGATAACACTTTTGTATCGCTACCGCATACTGCAAACACACATAAGCACAAGAGCATTATTAACTCTGTTTAACAAATCGAGTCGTTGAAATCAACTGATTTTTTTATATGGTACATATTGAACCTGTCGTTATTATTATTTATTAATTAAATTATTGTAATACACTAGTATAAGATTCATAATTAACCTTAACTCGAGATGTTGAGACTAATTAATTTTTTTACTGGCAAGATGTAATTCTACGTACCTCGACCACAAGGAGGTAGCCGTCGTCTTCTTCCCCCGGTCCCGAAGAGTACTGAGGTTTGGGAACGAAGATTGGCTCGCCGATGAAGGTCCGGCGAGGGGCGGTCCACGTGGCGACGGACCCTTCCTCGACGTCCATCTTGACCACGGTGTCGAAGGGGAAGTGAGGCAGCGTGGGGCGGGAGCCGGAGCAGGCGGCGGCGTAGACGTAGCGGTGCCTGTCGCCGGAGAAGGCCGGGTTGATGATGGGGAAGTCGGTGGCCTTGTTCCATTGGTTCAGCGGCGCCACGTCACAAGTACTACCGCTGCTGCTACGTGGCGTATCGGTTTTTTCTGCTGCGTGGAGGTTGATGGTGACCTCGACGAGGTGCGGGAGGAGCTCGTACTCGCTTTCCTTGGCGAAGTTCATCGCCGACGGGTCCAGCTTCCCGCTCCGCCAGTTGTATCCTGCAAAAATGAAAAACCACATGTATATAAATAAATAAACTTATAGCGATATTATCCTACTCGCAGTAGTGTGAGGCAGATGGGATATTAGTCCGATCTATCATGCCTCATTATTAATCATCATAATCATATCTCAATTTATTTCAATATATATTCATACTTCTCGAATTTTGGTTTATCTTGAGTCATTTTTCCGCCTCATGTAAATAAGTGCAAGACTTGATCTTTTAAATAGTTGAACTCACTTATTCTTCTAGTATATCTATCTAGTTTTCATATAATGGTTTCCCTTCGTTTCATCGTTAAGTAATAATTTTGTGATTATTCTTTCAAATAACATGTGATAATGATCAATCGACCCTATCCCGACCCCTAAACGAGCGAATGTATAAACTATTTAATTATATTAAGAAAGCTAAGTCAGTCAGTTAGCCCCGTCAACTAGAACACATATGATATTTCAAATCAATCAAATGATCTAACCTTCTAAACAATAGATACATTCTTTCTCTTTCGTCAATTACTATTTTTGTCAAGTTTGAATTAATCAAATTGAAATTTGTTCTAAACTAATCTCTCTTGAGTATCTTTCTTTCTGCTCTCACAATGATTCGAGTCCTTAACTTTATTAATGACCAACCCCTCCACTTTTAATTGGAGCCTTGTCCCCATTACATATATGTATGTATGTATGATAACAACACATTATTGTAATTATATGTTTTCTTTAGTGATTCCCGCCGGCCACCAATGCTTTATTTAATCACAAGTGTTAATTATTAGCTCCACAATTTCTTAACTTTCTTTGTCACGTCAATATCAAAGTTTTTTTTCTATAAATTAAAATGTTAACCCAAAATCTACTAGTCCATATTTTATGCACTACAAATAATTAGCAAACTATAAAATTCAGTGATCAAATTTAGTGACAGCAATAAACGACCTAGTATCTCAATATTCATACTCATTTTATTCTAAGTATGGATCAAATCAATCAAATTACAACCGTATTATCCGTATGAGATATCGATTAATTCAAATGAACAAGTTAGTAGATCAAATCGAATGAATCAGATTAGAAATTATTATCACTAATCTTGTTGAAATAAAATGGAAAAGATAACCTAGGGAAATTATGCTAGTAATAATAAGAATTACTGACCGAAGAGTTTGGTGAAATTGAACCACTGGTAGGAGCAAGTGGCAGCGTGGACGCGGATCTCGGCGTTCCCGCTCTCATCCACCGTCTGAAACGCATTTCCGACGTGGAGCAGCCACATCGGCGCGGGAGCCTCCACCGGAACCCTCCAGTCCCGGCCGCCGTCGTCGTTTTCGGGAAAACGCGGGAGCAAGTAAATCGGAGAAGTGGAGCTGCTAGGTGGGTCCACCGACAGCGTCGATATCATTGGAGATAATCCGCACACCGCCTGGATTGCCCCTGTAATTTAAAATTCGTTGTTTTTTACTTATAACGTGATATCATCGCTAAATTTCGTTCTAAAATTACTAAACGTCGTCGTCGTAGATATAATCTTTACCTAGAACATCGATTTTGATGCGGTTGCCGAACAATATGTAGTGTGTGTCCGTAAAAGCCCAGTCGTGGATCATTAGCCGATCTGGGATTTCGAACTCTTGCTTCTGTAGTAGCTTGAAATTCGAATCGTACTCTGTAATAATGTATCAAACACCAATTAATTAGTGGCCTTAATAATTATTACGTGAAAATGGTGAAATGACCAATTTACGACGTACCATAAAATGTGAAGTTGTTGCGAGGCATGAGCATATCCTCGGCATTGCATGACAAGGTGAGGAGCCTGTCCCTTTTGGTGTCGAGCTTGTAATGCGACAGCAATCTCTTTGGTGGCATTCTAAATACACCTGCCACCTCCCAACAAATACATTCACAAATTAATTAATGTCAAACTCTTAAACGTAGTATTATTATGTTAGAATAATCGTATAAAACTTCATATATTTTAGTATAGTAGTATATATAAAATTACAACTGTGTTTAACTAACTAACTAACTACGAGACTATGTTTTACCCACTCTACCACAAACTATTTTATGCTAAAATTACTAACTCTAAATTACAACTTCCAATACGATTTTATAATTCATGATCCTGACATATTTTATCAGTTTTGACCGCCTCTTCATACCGGTGATTTTCTAGCCGGTTTTGTCCGGTACTAGTAGAACCCCTAGTGTGCCGGCCGGCAGCATAGTGATTTGATAACTATGCTCTAAAACTACCAAGAGTCCAAACCCATATATAATACATAGCTGGACGAAGTAATCAATTGTTAAAGGAAAAGGTAAATTGACGGTTTAACCATCATTTAGGAAACCGACAGAAAACATAACACTAAATTGTAAAAACTAAAAAAATACGTACCGTACAAAATAGGCTTCAACAAACCGGCGGCCACATCCCACAAATCGACCCCTCCACCGCCGGCGTCATGCGACTCTTTCTCCTTCTTCTCACCACCACCACCACCATCATCGATCAAGCCGAACCTGCCGACGGTATCCAAACTCCGGTGATCAATCTGATAAGGATCCCCACCTTCCCAGAGACAGAACAACCTCCTCCCCCACTTCAACACGCTCGTATTCGCCACGTTCTTCATCACCTTCGTGTTCCCGACCCGCCGCCCGCCCTTCAGCAGCGAGAACGGCCCGCGGTGGGTGAACCGCCACGTGTCGGTCTCCGGCTCGTGCTCCTCCATCTGCGCCTCCGTCCTCACGTACTTGGCCATGAATTGAACTTCTTTATTCCCCTCCCCAGCTGCCGCCACGTGGAACGATTTGAGGTAACCGTGGCCGTCCAGCGGGTGGACGGTCGAACCGTGGTCGTCGCTGAACAGACCGGGTCCGGCCAGGTAGTACGTTCCTTTCGGGAAGTCGGGTGGGACGGCGCCGTTTACGGGGAGGAGGGTGATGGGTTGGGTTGTTTCCTTGCGCTGGGAGATGAAGAGGAACTGGTAGTCCCAGAAGGCCGCCACGGCGTCGTCGTTTTGGTCCAACGGCGTCGTTTCGTGGTTGGTGGTGGTGGTGGTGATGGTGGGTGGTGGTGATGAGATCGATATGGCTTTGGGGACGTGGCGGTTGGAATTCTTGTTGTGGTCGTGGTGATGACGTGGTAGCTTTGCCGCCGGTGTCGGTGAAGGGGAGTTCGGTGGGAAGGATATCATGTGGTGGGGAATATCGGCCTGCATTTTGAGAATCGGCATAGCTTTCTGTCTGAATCGAAATTTGATCTCCGGCCAACAAGAAGAATAGTTGGTATAAGAAAACGAAGAAGAAGAGGCTTGGCTGGAAGAAATTGTTATAGCAGAAGAAGAATGGCGTCCTGAAGCTGCAAAATTTGATATTGGCAGAGTCAAAGGAAGCTGTTAAGATTCATATATTATCTCTTTAAAAGAACAAGTTACAAGTTTACTGTTTGGTAGAGTCACGTCTTAACACTGTTTTTCTTTGCCACATTTTTACTGCGTTCTCGTCTGTAATCATTGCTTACCTCTCTCTTTCCTCTCTGCTTTTAGCCTGGGTTGCTTCGCCAGCGACTTCTCTTCTCTCTGCAACTTATCGGTTTTCGGAACTCCTCACCTTTCCCCTTGAAATGACAGGTCTGGCGCTTCCTCATCTGTTCCTTTCCCCACAAAAGTCTTGTTTTGCTTTGCTACCTTCCATTTGTGCTTCTTACAGACTTTTCCTCTTCTAGCTTGCTTGCTCGCTTGCTTTCTTCTATTGCTCTTCCATGGTGACCCATAAATTGCTTCTTGACCTCAGCGACTCCGATGGCCCTCAGACTCTTCTGAAACTGCGCCTCCTAAATGCGTGGGGGTCTTATGGCCTCAAGAATCCTACATTAATCTTCAACTACTGCACTCTTTGGAATGATGAGGAGGTCAGCGCTGCTTTCCTTTTTGTGTTGCCACGTAATCTTGCGCCTCCCTTCTTTTTACAGCCCTCTTATGTTCGTTTCTTTTCTGGCCAGGGTACTTTGATTCAGGGCACGGCTCCTTCGGAACTCACGCGCCATTTCTCTCCGCTTCTGCAGTTGGGTAGCGTTTACTTCGTGAGCAATTTTCGCGTCAAGCCACCGGCCCCTTCGTATCGTTCTTGCTCTCATAAGTTGACCATCATCCTCTCTGCCGCTACACAGTTCGAAGACGTGACCCGTTCGTCACCTTCATTCTGGCCGGATGCGTTCGAATTTACCCCGTTCAGCTCGCTTCATTCCCGCATACGTTCATCGGTTTATCTAACAGGTCTTGTGCTGTATTCTTTACGTCTCTTGCTGTCCGTTCTGCAGTGTACTGCTTACCATCCTTTCCTTTTTTCTCTTGCTTGTGCCTCTGTCAGATGTCGTTGGCGCTGTTGTTAGCATAACAGGCGTTTCCAGCACTGTAACTTCATTCGGTACCACTGTGCGGAGTGATTTGGTGCTTCAGAATGAAAAGTATGTTACAGATGCACACCACTGCTTTATCGACTGTAATACATTTGGTACTTACTTTCGTTGCTTTTTTCGCCAGTCACATGTTTCTTGATATCAGTCTGTGGAGTGATATAGCTCGGAATCTCAATAGTCAGGAACTGGCTGTCCTTGGTCGTTCTGGGCCAGTTATGCTTGCTGTTTGCTCACTTCGAGTCACTGGCGCTACGAAAGGTCTGCATGTACCTTACCGCCGCACTATTCTCCCTTTCATTTCCCTTCCTCTTTTCCTTATTACCTTTACCCCTCTTGTAGGAGGTTACTCTCTTACCAGTACTCCAGGCACACGTTGTGTTCTCAACCCTGTTTCTGAAATGGCTCACCTGGTCCAATCTGTGTATGTCTTTTCTTATCCTCCTCATATTTGTTTTTCCCTTTGCATCATCAGCTGTATTTTTGCCTACTGCTAATTTGTTGCGTTCCTTGCTTTCGCTTTCGTTAGGTTCTTTGCCAGCACTAATACATGTCAATATTACCCTCCGAGGTTTGCAACTCCTAATGAGGCAGCGGCCTTCGAAGCTGAATGTACGAAGACTGTGTCACAACTACTTGCCTTGTGTTTTCCCCCTGTTGCCGATGTATGCTTTTTCCCATTTTGCTCTCCGGCTTACCTGCTTCTGTTCCTTTCACTCCATTTGTTTGTCCGTCTAATCATTTCTTTCGTTTACTTTTTTTTAGTCTACGCGTTACCATTGTTCTGGTCGGATTGTTTCGGTTGATTCTTCTATGCAGTGGTACTACTTGGGTTGTGCGCTTTGTTCCAAAGCAGCCATAGATTATGATGGTGTTGACAAATGGTGTGATGACCACCGTCGTTTGGTGCCTCAACAAACACAGAACTTGTAATTCCTTTCTTCATTCTTGCCCCCATGCCTTTTACCTTTTCTCGTGTTTTCAGATGCTCCTGTACACGTTTTTTGCAGTTACAAACTTCGGGTAACAGTTGATGACAACACTGGATCAGCAGCTTTTGTTCTGCTGGGTAGGGCCGCTGACCTTCTTGTGGGCTTGACTGCTAACGATCTCTCTACTAGGTTTCCTTACCAACGCAATGTTCTTCCACAAGAACTTCTGGCTCTTGAAGGGCGAGACTTTACTTTTGACGTCCAGCTTCCAAAACCGGAATATGGGGCTCGTGGCCCGCCAGAATTCACGGTCCTTGCTGTCAATGAGCAAGAACAGCCAAATTCCTGCTCACCAACTCTTGGTCGCCGGGCAAGAAATGATATGCCCCATACACCACCTCCTAACAGGTTGTTTTACTGTTCTTCAGTTTGTGGTGCAGTTCCCTTTTGTTCATTACTAATTGCTGCTTTCCGTTGCAGTCCTCACTTGATGCCTCTTACTTCTCCATATGTTGTTCCAACAATGCAGAACGCTTCGGTAGAGCATGGTTCTTCTGTTGCTTCACCAAGGTTATGCTTCAATTTTACATGTCCTCTTTTCTCTGGTTGTTGCTTGTCTTTAACTCGGGTTCCTTCTTAAATTTGCAGTGGGAGTTCTCAGCTTGCATTTTCTACTCCTCCACGTCGCCCCTATAGCAGGTTGTTTTTACAATCCACTTTGCTTTACAAAATTAACAAGCGCTTCTTTGGACGCTGTCGTACTCTTTCCCTATGTGTTGATATTTCTTTTCCATGCGTTGTTTACCATCAATTTCCAGTAGGCGCATCGCTGCTGTATCCTCGCCCTCATCTGCTGCATTGGGAAGGTTGTCTGTTTCTTGTCTGCTTTGCTAGCTTAGTCTGCTTATACACGTTCTGATGTCGTTTCCTGACATGTTTCTTTTCAACAACAGTTCTGTAGCTACTTCTCCTGAACTTGGTCGTACTGAGATTGTTTCCTATGCGCGGTCAGTTTCTTGCCTTTTCCTGTGTTACCTCAATCGTTCGCCTTTACGCCTGCTAATATTTGTCAATGACTCTTGCACACCCGTTTTAACTGCTTCTTAGCCCTAGAAGTGAGGAAGTGCCCCCAGAAACTGCAACACAGCGATCCCCACAGTACCTTTCCTCCTGTTAACTTACTTACTAGCTTTACGTGTCTCTTTCTTTCCTTGCTGAGCATCTCTGTATCAGGGAACTTGCTTCGGACACTACAGAAGCTACTGTGCAGAACAAGAACATAAGTTCGCAGAAAGCGAAGCCGAAGAAACCATCTGCTAAGAAGAAGTCTCTTTGCCCTTTATTACTTGCTATGTTTCTTGTACCAAATTTATACATCCTACATTAGGTCTTAATTTCCTGTTTAACTTGCTTCTGTTTGCATACTGGCAATTTACTTGGTTTTTGTGCACCCTTCGTTTTACATGTGGCCTGCTTCCTACCCATTCCCCATTGTTGTTTCGTTTTACCACTTATTTGGTTGTTAACTCTGCATACGCCACTATTGCCTCTTGGAATTCTTTTACTTATCATAGTATCCTGCATTGTACTTCGATTTACTGTCCTTACCTTATACAACTTTGTTGGACTTTTGCAGGAAAACTGGAGGTGCAGGTGCTGCGCGTCGTCCTGCAGTTACTCTTGAAGAAACCGATGTTCCGATATCGTCCCTTCAGATCCCTGTTGGACATCCTTTGCCAACCGAATCGTCGAATCCTGACTCTGGACATCTTAATGCCCTCGGTGTCAATTTGCAGACAACAACAATTCAGCCTTTGTCACAGTATGTGTCGTTCTAATTCTTTGCTTGCCAGTGTTATCTGCTCCCTAGGATTCCAGTTTGCATGCTTTTGGTGCTCTTCTAAACCTGAACAAAAAAGGTTTCCAGTCTGCACAGAATACTTATTTTTGACGCAACAAATTTGCAAACAATGCTTTACAATTAAAGTTGGTCTTCTGCTTGTATACATGGTTTTAAGTCGTTACCATAAAATACAATAGCCGATGGATGGCCTTTTGTATCCCTTTCTTCGCCCTTCGCTAACTTACACGTGTTCTCAATGTGCAGACATACAATGTTACCTTTCAGTGGCCATACTAATTATCTACGAATATTCTACCTTTTTTGTTTATACAGAACAAAAAAAACAAAATAGTTGTGGCTTCTGCTTACTTGGTCAGCTTCAAATCAATTTTTTTCTACAGTTGAAGTAATAATCGTCTTTACTTTAGGGAGATTCCTTGTGCAGTTTGTTCTTTGTTGTTAGTCATTATCTTATTCGTGCTTTGCAAGTTGCTCCCGCATTGCATAGGAATGTGCATGTTCTTTCATATAGATGTGTGTTTTACAGACCTACTTCCTTTGTCTCCTTTTCTAGGCAACCTGTGTCCTATAAATCCTGCACCTGTACGTCGCCGTCGCTTGGTTGTTTCTTCTGATGAAGACGAACCTGTTGTCCCTTTGGAACTGCAAGACTTGGACGTTGAACTTCCACTGCAAGAACAGGCTATTGAAAACTCTTCGACTTCTCCTGTTCCTACCGTTGACTCTACTTTGCCTTCTCCTCTTCTTGCTGGCCAAGAAGTTCCGCTACTTCCAGTGGGGAAAACTAATCCTGGGAGGGCAAAGCGAATTAGGACACCGTCTGCAAAGGCCATTGAAGCATCTGTGGATGCCTCCAAGAGGAAGCCAAAACCTCCCAAATCGTCTGCTAAGGAACCTGCTAAGAAGCAACTGTTTGCTGATTGACCGTGATTCGCATCATGCGAGTGCTAATGTAACATGCTTGTGCAGTAGCTGTCCCTCCCTTTCTTTTGTATAACTTTTAAAGGGAAACACTCTTTAGCGAGTAGTGCACTATGTACTTTTGCCTTTTGTGTCTACATTTGCAGCCCTTGCCAAACTTGTGGTTTTCCATTACTGGCACCACTTCTACCAATCTGGTCTGCTATGACATTTGACTTGTATTAGTTACCTCTTGGTCCAGGTTACCCCTTGCGTACCTGCTTACTAACCAACTCTATGTCGTTAATATCAAGTGACATTTTGCCATGCCCTTCTTTAAGTGGCATAGTATTGCGCCACTCTGCAACTGAACTCTATTTTGTGCTAAGGAACTGTTGTACTTTGTATCATCATTTGTTGGGTGGACTTTTGCCGTTTAGCCCGCATTCGCATCGCACCTGTATCTACTTCGTTAGTCACTTGTTTTGCTCTTTATTCGCAGGTCGCCACTGTCTGTTGTAAATGGCCACTTTGAGGACCAAATTGTGCACACCCTTTTCGATTGCAGGGTATTTAGGTGGTGTCTACCAGCCACACAGTAACTAGATATTTAGATTGTCCACTAATACCATGACTTTGTTTACTAGCTTCCATAGACCCAAATTATAAACTTATTTTACTTCTATTAATTGCCATCATGCATTTATTGTTCTGACTAGCCTGTTCACTAATGATGGCTTTATTACTTCTCACTTCTCTAGACTAGCCTGCTATGGTGCATGTTGTATTATTATACTTTTTCTTAAGAAGGATATTTCCCCCTGGAAACACCGTTTACCTGTAGACTGTCTTCTTCCATAACTGCTTTCCCATTACTGCTTCTTTTTGCTTATTCTGTCTTTGCTGTTGGTCATTGAATGAAATTCTCTGCTACATCTGCTATACTATTACCTGGTATCTGCCTTCCTCTGCAAATCTGCCAGTGTCTTTATTCCACTGTACCCGTTTAGAAGGCGTGACATGGTTAGTTTGGTCAATTTATTACTTTTATCTTACTACATTTACCATTGTGTTCCTATACCATGCTACGCTTGTGCCATAGTTCCCAGGTCCTGTTTTTTCCCTAACGTCAGTGTGTGCTCTCAGGCCACTCCCAGACAGGCTGCACTCCTGCTACCCGGTCGTTCAGCGAATAGGAAGCGTCGTCATATTGGTGTTTCCACTGAATTTGTACCTACCACGCCTCCTTCGAGAAGTTCTGTGAGGCGTCGTGTGTGCAACTTTGATAGACGGGGACGCTTGCACCCACTGCTTGACTCAGAAGGTGAACTTGACTCATCCGAACTTGACTTAAGAACTCCTGAAGACTTAACAGCCAGCTCGCAAACTCATCCTCCTGTTGCGTTGGATGGTCATTGTTCGTTGCCTGATGTGCCTCTACCACCTTCACAACAAGCAGAATTCAGTCGAGTTATCGATCATGGTTTTCCTGACTGTGAATGCCAATACTGTGGTGCACGGTTCTGGTATGAAGAGCGGCTTAACAGGCATGCATCTCTTACTCCTGTTTTCACGCTTTGTTGTCAAAAGGGTCGAATACGCCTCCCATTCCTACAGGAAACTCCTCAGTACCTTGAAGACCTCTTGGGTGTTAATGGCGGTCCTATGGCAGCGCACTTCAGGGAACATATACGCTCCTATAATGCTGCGTTTTCTTTCACATCTTTTGGAGCACGCCTTGATCCGAGAGTTACACGATCACGAGGACCTTATTCGTTTGTGATATGCGGAGAAAATTATCATCGAATGGGATCTCTGCTTCCTGCTGCAGGTCAGAGACCTAAATATTCTCAGCTATACGTCTTTGACCCGCAGACCGAATTAGCAGATCGACTCTCCAATTTCTCTTCTGCTGAAAGGTCCCTGCGTCCTGATATTGTTTCTGGTTTAATGAAGCTGTTTGACGTGACAAATGAATTAGTTAAGTCTTTTAGACGAATTCGATCTGAATTGAATGATCCAGCATCAATCAATTTAAGACTGCGTATTGTTGGTGCAAGGGACACAACATCTCGACAGTATGAACTTCCAACTGGTTCAGAATTGGCTGGACTCATTCCTGGTGATTTCTTGCCTGATAAGGAAGAACGAGACATCATTATCGATCATCGGTCAGAGGGCCTGAAGAGGATCACAAGTGTACACCCGAAGTTTGATGCTTTGCATTTTCCGGTTCTTTTCCCATACGGAGAAGATGGATTCCATGTAACCATACCGTATGATCCTGTTCATACTCCCAAAACATTGAAAAGGAAACATGTGACTCAGAGAGAGTACTATGCTTACCGGCTTCAGCACAGAGACGACGAAGGTCAGACATTGATGCGAGGTGGGAAGGCACTTCAACATTACGTGGTTGATGCATATTCCACAATTGAACAAAACCGACTCTATTATTTGCGATCGCATCAAGAAAACCTCCGTTCTGAACTATACTATGGCCTTACAGATGCTTTCAACAGAGGTGATGTTACAGGAGATGCTGTTGGCCATGTTGTTCTGCCATCATCGCATACTGGAAGTCCTAGGTACATGAAGCAACT